CCAATTCCAGCATTTGAGGAACCTTTCTGTAGAATTTTGATTGATTGTGTGGGACCATTACCAAAATCTAAGGCAGGCCATAAGTTTTTGTTGACCATAATGTGTACTTCCACAAGGTTTCCAGAGGCAATTCCTTTACGGAATATTAAGGCAAGAACTATCTGTGACGCACTAACAAAATTTTTCACTGTTTTTGGATTGCCTAAGTCACTACAAACGGATCAGAGTTCAAATTTCATGTCTAATCACTTCAAAGATCTGATGCGTGAGTTGGGAGTGAGACAGTTTACGTCTAGTCCATATCATCCAGAATCACAGGGAGCATTAGAAAGGTTCCACCAGACGTTGAAAACTATGCTCAGAGCTTACTGTCAAGATCATGATAAAGATTGGGATAAGGGTATTGTCACATTAACATGATTAAAAAGTATCATGAAAGAGAGCAGGAAAGTATATCTGTGTGTATGCTGAATGTTCAGGATGATAAGTCTGATACTGGTCAGGAGCTTCAGTTTGAAGGTATGGATATGCCTAAGACTAAGCTAAACAACTCTGAAATATTAGAGAACTTGGATGATAAGCTATCGCACATGGTTGACAGTGAAAAACAAGAGCTGATAGACTTAATTCAAGAGTTTAGTCATTTATTTCCTGATAGACCATCACGTACTAATATGATAGAACATGATGTAGACGTGGGTGAGGCTAGTCCAGTTAAGCAACATGCTTATCGATGCAATCCAATTAAACTAGGGCTATTGAGAAAGGAAATAGATTACATGCTGGAGAACGATATCATACAGCCTAGTAGTAGTCCATAGAGTTCCCCTTGCATTCTTGTGCCCAAGTCTGATGGTGTGGTACGCTTTTGTACAAATTTTAAGAAGGTCAATTCTATGTCTAAAACTGATTCTTATCCCTTGCCAAGAATAGACGACTGTATAGATCGTGTAGGGAATGCAAAATATGTGACAAAGTTTGATCTTTTAAAAGGCTATTGGGGCATACCATTATCACCTAAGGGAAAGCAAATATGTGCATTTTGTACTCCAGATGGCTTGTTTGAGTACAATGTTATGCCTTTCGGGCTCAAAAATGCACCAGCAACATTCCAACGCTTAATGAATCAGATCATTTTCGATGAAATGCTGGCACCAATTGTGCTCCCCTTCTTGCGGATCTGTTTCCTTAGGCATATGAATCGGAATTTCTGTTCGGATTTGGCCAAGTTAAAACAAGGCAACTTGGCCCAGAAGTTTAACTTCAGCTTTCTCGATGATCTGATATCGTTCAATAACAATCAAATAGCCTATTCCCTTCCACTGATTTACCCACCTGAACTAGAAATAAAGGAGACCAGTGAGACCGCCTCATCTGTTTCATATGTAGGTTGATGTATAAAGATTCAGTGACAAAACACGTTCCACAAGACTGTTTGACTTCAACTTTCGAGCAATATTCCAGCAGCTCCATCCTTTGGTGTTTACATTTCACAACTTTTGAGATACAAACGAGCATGCTCTTTCTACCAACATTTCAAACTAATCTTGTTCGCTAGTTGTAAAGCAGTAAAGCTTTCAAAAGGTTTTACGGTAGACATTTGGAGGACATTTCCAAATTTGACGCATCAGTGACTAAAATGATGTCCGATGCAATTCCCTATTTTGACCATATGTTCCCATGTTTTTTCAGGTGAACAATTGACTTGCCTTTGCATGTATATGTGACGGGTGCCACGAACCCCTTGTATCATTACTATTTGATAGTGAATCATAAACACATGCTCATGATATAGTCGGAATCGTACAACCGACTCTGCTTTATGCAGATATTTCTATTGGATATGAAAAGGGTTTTGTCGCTTCATTTATGTGTGGTATATAAATAATTATCTGTTTCTTTTGTTCTTCATAGATCATGTATCATATTTCACTAGTGAATAAAATATTGGAAAATTAAGACGTGATTAAGTTTTAGCTCACCTGACTGATTTTTTCAAGTGAACTTGTGTCAGTACCCCCTCGTCCGTTGTCCGGCCCTGATAAAAAACATGTTTGGTTTTCATGTATTAGTTTTGGCAATGATCTTATGATACGATTTGCTATGCAGCAACTTAGAATTTTGTACTAAGTATTTAATAATGTAATGGGGCTCCAATTTTAAGTACTCTTCCGTCTTTATTGGGTTTAGATATGGTAGTAATAACGCCCCTATTCATAGTAAGTGTTAGTCGATTATTCTCAAAGGTATCCTTTATAAATCTATAAACGCAAACAGAGATACCTTTCAAGAAAAAATTCAAATTTCAACTGAGATCCCATCTATACCTGGGGATTTATTATTTTTTCAACCCAGGACCCCAGAACCTTAAGCTTCACATGCTGGAAGACACCTATATTTTGTTCAAACGTTTCGAGACCCGTGAAGATTCCGGGGTAGAATAGGTCTTCAGCAACCCATGCTTGCCGTAAAAGGTGACTATGCTTGTCGTAAAAGGCGACTAGCAGGATCGGGTGGTCAGGCTCGCTGACTTGGTTGATGCATGTCATCATATCCAAATTGCGTGGATCTATGCTCATGATGTCAATCAATGGATTGTCTGATCCAGACTTGATTATTTACAGACGGCCATCATATAGCTGGAATATTCCTGGGTGTAGCATGAAACAAACAAACAAACAAACAAATAAACAAACAAACAAAATACCAGTCCGGATTCCTTGTAAGACTGGAGGTCTCCGGAAACATATTCTTGTCATAAGAGCCGACAGAGTGGATCAGACTGTGAATTAGATGATTGCATGTAATTGTATCGCAATGCATGGGTCGCTGCTCATGATGTCAATCACTGGATTATTTGGTCCAGCAGTGATGATTTACAATTTGAATATTGCTGAAGCAACATTAAACAACAAATAAATACCTGGGGCATTCATGGAATATCATATTATAGCTTTAACATGCTACAGCCCTGTACAGAAAGCATTGTAGTACTGTGAATAACTTTGACAAATGATAAATGGTGTGAGAGTTATGAATAGGTTATTCTACATATTACTCTGTCACTTCAAGTGAGAAATCAAATAAAACATGAAATTTCAGACTTTAAGAAATTTCAGTAAAGGCCACCTTTTGCACACATAAAATAGGAAATGGCACACTTTAATTTTATGTTCATTGCCTCTTTTCATTAAAGGTACTCACGTTAGTTTATATTTCATGTCTTGGCAAAATAAAACTGTGAAATGAAAGAGTTGCATGTTCCACTATCGTTAAATGACTTCCTGTTGTAAAATCAATCGGCAGTATTTGGTGATTTCCGTTGACTGTATCTTACAGATGTTTGACGAAATGTTCTACACTGCACAAAATACATTTGAATGTAATCGCTCTTTCTGTATTTTGACGGAGTATCACAACTATCACGTAGGTCTTGCATTTCAAACAATAGTGCTTACTTGTGTTACCGTATTCGACGTAATAAGCGCCCAGGGCGCTCTCAAAATTAGAAAAAGGGGGCTCTTATTAGAATATTATTTTGGTGAAAAAGAGTTGAGAGATACATTTCGTGGTTTATGCTGACAGCCTGAAATGTTTATGTACGACAGATATATTTTTCCAGAATTTAATTGCCCATAATTAAGGGTGCATATAACACACGAGTGCGTATTTTTCAAAACCTAGCAGATAATTGATATTTGTTATAATTTTGTTTGGTAATAAAGACAAGGACACCTTAACCTAAAATGGCTCACCTAATTCTAATTTCTAATTTCGAGCCCTGCATATTGCTTCAACTGACCAATCAGCTACATGGATATGTACAAATATAGTTTTCTGGCTCAATCATGTCCATCTTTCAGCCCTTTAACATAAACATATTTGTCCTATGAATAAACAATGCCATTTAGAAATTGGTCAATGTAACAAATGTTATATTTGGGATAGCCCTGCCTTAGTCAAATACAAATACTAGTACTTTTTTTGGTTGAGTCCTGTCTGGGATTTGAAACCACACAGCCAGAGTGAGGCACCTAATTGCCAGCACACAAATTCAGCGATCTAACCTACTCAGCCACAAAAAATTAAAGTCTGACACCTAATAGTTTAGATCACATACTTTGTGTATCCCTGAAAAGGGTTAATTTGCATGGCTTCCATTTTACACTGGGCCACTAGGACATCAAAATTAATGTCTGTGGGTAACAATATTAGGCCGTGGGCTAGGTATGACCCACGAGCACCCCCCCCACATCCAAACCCCACTTAACTTTGTTAAAGCCCATAAACATACTAAACATGATTGTGAATGTTAACAAGAAAAAAGTTGGGACGAACTTGTTGTTACAGCCTTTCAAAGTATGGTACCCTATATCGCGTTTTCGCCCGGTTTTGCCGTATATCACTTGGGGGTATGATTACGTTTTGGGTTGTCATCTCACTAGTGATCCACTGATCTTCAAGTGTGATATACCACTGGAATCCATATATAAATACCTCTCCAATGAGGTATCAATAATTGGTATTGAGTGAATATGGACCAACCCATGGCAAATTGAACGTCATATATCCCGACAAAACTAATTTTTTCTCGCAGAAACCTTTAATCCGGTATATGTTCTAGGTACGTGTGCCTGATTCCCCTATAATCGTCTAACACGTGTTCCAGTACATCTCTTGAAGTACTTACTTAACATGTGATGTTACCAGGTGAAAATCTTTTGCACAATTTGGAACAAATTTACAATACGATGACATGCATCAACCAAGTCAGCGAGCCTGACCATCTGATCCCGTTAGTCACCTCTTACGACTAGCATTATCGCCCTTTAGGGCAAGCATGGGTTGCTGAAGACCTATTCTAACCTGGATCTTCATGGGGGACAAACAACAAGGTCACAAAATTAGGCCTCTTCCCTTCTTTTGGAACTTTATCATCAAAATCAAATATGGAAAATTAACTTTATAAAAAAAAAGGAGCAACTGATTCTGACAAACAAATCATCAATTATTATTTCAGCAAGAGCTACTCTTGTATCAGTAAATAAAGCCAGGTTTGTCAAAATCACCTGGCTCGTCAGCAACAGCCTCTTCTCCATCCTTGGTGTGGTCCCGACTGGTGGCATCCCCTGGTGTCTCCCTGTTGTATAGAGGTATGTACTCTACCTTTATTGCAGAGTCGGAAAAATCACCCTCACTCAGTTCTCTTTTCTCTAGAAAAAGGGAGAAATTGTAATGTAGACATGACACACAGCTCTTCTTCACTACATATGTTGCCATTTGTAAGGATTTGTATTTATTATTCTTTTTCAGAACTGTATTTCATTAAATATATCAATCTATTGCCTTGTTGAGTTATAACCTTATATTTAACCTTGTTTGACTATGTATGAGATCTGCCCACTGGCGTGTACCATTGTGAAGAAAGAGGTAGCAAGTAGTCCATGAGAGGTAGTACGTGGATATGTGCATCTACTGTTTCAGCTAACAATGAGTTTGAGTGGTGAGTTCAATAGTCTTATGAGCAACACGTGTCCACGGGAGAAGTCAATTTCATCAGGCATACAACTTCTCTACCTGTAACAAGCCAACTACGTTTTCCTAAATTCTGTTCACCGCCTACTTATCATGCTTATCCCAATCATGTCTTATGAGTTGGAGGGTTGGTCTGAAAAATTAGTTGCCAGTGGTCGTTTACAATTCCTGTGACATTGTTTCACAGACTTTTAGTTATGCCATATTTTGTAATCAGTTAATCAGATTAAATAATATTTGTTTTGTTTTCTAGTTATACACATGTATTCGCTGAAGGTTGGGAATTAAAGAGAAAAAAATTATAAGTCATATTTGCAGTTTTTGCTGAGTTAGTCATATCTGTAAACCTAAAAAATAAAAATGTGTTGCCTAACGGACTGCTTTTGTCAAATAATCATAGTTTGACAAAACAGGTTGTTCTTGTGGACACAGATATATGAAAATGTATCACAGTATTTCTTTTCCTGTCCCTTTCACAATGATGTAAGAAATTATACATTCTTCTACTCTGAGGTTGGTTGGTTGGTTTGTTGTTTTACACCGCACTCAGCAATATTCCAGGTATATGACGGCGGTCTGTAAATAATCTAGTCTGGACCAGACAATCCAGTGATTAATATCATGAGCATCGATCCACGCAACTGGGATACGATGACATGCATCAACCAAGTCAGCGAGCCTGACCACCCGATCCCGTTATTCGCCTTTTACGACAAGCATAGTGGCCTTTTACAGTAAGCATGGGTTGCTGAAGACCTATTCTACCCTGGATCTTCACGGGTCTCTGCTCTGAGGGAGTTGATCTTAACACTATACTGAATGGTAATGCTGCTAATTTTACAAAAACTACTAATCTAGATATCTTAAAAACAGTACATTCATACATACTTCATTACAGAAGGATTAAACTAACGTGAGACTGTAAATCCCGCATATATATCAATCTTGTACTTATTACACCTTACTGTTGTCCATGACCACTTACTTTTGTGAACGTATTTAGTTCATCATCATGTATTTGTTTGTTTAATGCCTTCATGAATACAACTTGTACTTGAGAGGTATTAACATACCTTTTGGATTGTTTATTGATTCAGACTCATTGAATAAATATATGTTTAAATAAATCAATACAAGCTCAGGGGTCCTGCCGAACACACTCACAGTCGTTCGTGAACTCAACTTAGGATAAATGTGTATCCATGATCAAGTGAATTGTATTCACCAGATGAAAACTAACTTGTGAGAAAACTCAGTTCACTGAAATTTAAGTCTGTAATTTGTAATTACGTAATTAAGACATTTGCAGTCACCAGTTAACAAGTAACAAAATGAGACGTACATGTAGTTTATAGTATATAAATAACAGAAACAACTCAATAGCAAATTTTCATTTTTTTTGCTTTGTCACTATTTTTCTTTATTTCATATTTATTTTTATTTTCTCTCTATGTTTTACTCTAACCTTTTATGCATCTTTTTATTATTTGTTTTGTCCAATCTCCATATACCTACACTTCCTTATTACCTACAAGGGTAAACATATCGGGGTTCATAAAAATCATATGTGCCCTAGGTTGATATCCATCACGAGACACGGTGTATTGTTTCCGTCATCCCGACAGCAGAGTTGACATCATTCGAATCTTATTGTGACGTCAGGTTGGAATGACGTCACACTAGAAACGACGTCGTAGCTGAAGATGGTTGACGTCATTCGACAAATTGTGGTTCCGCTGCTGTTGTGACTTGCTGACTTATAGATAAATACTCAAATTTGTCTCTGTATGTGGATATCTTCTTCGTTATTAAATAGAACATTATATTCGTGTTCATCTCATACAATGTATACAACACTAGTGCCTAAACATAGTATGACATGAACGCTCATATAATATTCTCTATATATCACTAGTATTTTGGGTCAGGTGTTTTCATCCTATTGCCCCATTTTAAATTTCCAAATTTACCCCCACCTGACTGTGAATTAGACTGTGTCTGAAGTGGTCGTTAAACTCCAAGAACTCCCTCGTTGAAAATTGGCAGGTGCACCTGTTATTGTCGACTTTGTACCCAACTGATGTGGTGACTGTAACCTTGTATACCAAGGCTTCAAGTGTGAGTGGGGGCGGTCGGGTAGCCTAGTGGTTAAAGCGTTCGCTCGTCATGCCGAAGACCCGGATTCGATTCCCGACATGGGTACAATGTGTGAAGCCCATTTCTGGTGTCCCCCGCCGTGATATTGATGGAATATTGCTCAAAGCGGCGTAAAACCATACCACTCACTCAAGTATGAGTGACAAAAACATGAGGTGCCTGCATACACTGGTAATGCTGTATTGTTGCATGTCCAGCTGTCATCAACACTTCCAGTCATCTTATCACAACCCAGAACCATGCCCACACATTAGCCACACTAAAATCACCATCAAACAGATTCTGTCAGACATTTGCCTTTGGTTTAAAACAATATTTATTTCCACTTGGAACAGTGAAAGGGGATTGACAAACAGGCAAAGCCTATACAAATATCTCTCCCCATCAAAGTTCGAACAAGCAGCAGTAGTGTTATATATGTTATACAGTAATATAAACTTTGTAAATTCTAAATATGTTTTACATTTGTATACTTGTCCTGCATTACTATGTTATACTTAAAACTTAAAATATAACAACATTTATTTAGATTCTACATGTACAACATCCAGTCGTAAAATAATACAGACTACTTTGATTAATTTACATAAAGTATTTTTATTTTTTACGCATGCAGTTTGAATCATCGTCCACGATCAGTGTTACATAGATCTACATGTCCCAGCCACTGTGAAATAATTGCGCCACTGTTCCATTCACTACCATCATTACGTAATGTGAACCTCAGCAAGGAATATCTGTACACCGCTCTTTCCTACACCGCGGGGTCAGTTTCTTGGACCCCGATGACAGCGGTGTATCGAGGGATCACTGTACTAGATACTATGTCACATGAGGTACATCAAAGGTAAACAGTTGTTGAAGAAATATATGTAAGAGTGCATATTTATACAAATCTTTTGCTCATAGAGAAGTAATGATGAACAGAATCAATGATATTAAGAAGTATTTCTTTGTCCTGGTTGACGTTGCCAAACAGGACGGTTCAAAGGGCATATCCATTAACAAAGTAATAGTTTCAGATCTAATCTCAGTAAACAAGTAAATAGGTAGTGTCAAGCACTTTCATTGCAAAAAACACAAGAACATTCACCATTAACACTAATAAAGAAGTAATTATGGAACCATTTCCTGAAAATGATGCCCTATCCATTCTGACAGTGTAACAGGCAACTTATTTTCTACAATGAACATTGTTAATAAAACTTGGTACGTGTCAAGGTATCCTGGATTTCACAAAGTATGACAGCAATGGTGTAATGGCTAGTTACAGCTTACCCTATTTCCTTCAACGCAATGCACACACACACACACACACATTCTTGGGTCCAAGTTTCAGGCAGAAAAGCTGTTTTGTGTATGATGTGCAGTCTATCCGTGACACCATATGTTCTAATGACACCAGGTGTTTTCAACAATCATCTGACCCACCAGTGGTAGTTCTTGGTGAATTAATTGTCATTCAAATAATTTGTTGCGCATAGATGTAATTACCGTATTCGACGTAATAAGCGCCCGCTGCGATATTTGCAAATATATTGGCTTGTGAACAATCCCAATCAGCACCCCTTCCAAATGATCAATGTACACAAGACTTAATTATTCGTGTATAATACGCACTCGTGTGTTATATGTACCCTTAATTATGGGCAATTAAATTCTGCAAAAATATAGCTGTCATATGTGATCATTTCAGGCTGTCAGCATAAGCCACGAAATTTACGATCTTTCAACTCTGTTTTTTTTTCACCAAAATAATATTCTAATAAAAGCCCTCTATATCTAATTTTGAGAGTGCCCTGGGCGCTTATTACATAGAATACAGTAACTTTTGAACAATGAAAAAAGTAAGCATTCACAATAAGGATCTAATTACTGGTACTTGTAGTTTTCATTTCCTTTTTTTTTCTTAATAAAGTCACAATGCCGTAATTCAGGGTACTTTTCAAAGCAATTTCTCATTCTCACAGGTTCTCATCTCAATACTAATAAATCTCAAGGCATGGAAAACCTTTTATAACAACACCTTCAGGATGGGCAACATTTGCTGTGATCGTATTGATGTGCCAGAGAAAGAATGTTAGCCTCAAACCATTGTGAATGACACTAACATGGTCTGATTAGGACAAATTTGGGTATCCCATGTTTGCTTTAACACGTTTATCAGTTTACCAGCAGCAATGAAAACAGCAACCCACTCACCTAGTTGAGCAATGGTAGTGTAAGCAGCTGTAAAGTTTTTGTAGGACTTGGTGATATTCTCCTGGAAAGCAAAAAAACAAGTCAGGGTAAAAAACAGCTTCAAGACAGACAGATGCAAGAACATTTTATGTTGTTACACTTTAATCTTGGATTCTAAACTCAGTACAGTTGGGAAAATGGGAAAAAATAATGATTTTGTTCAATTTTGGGATTTTTAAAAAAGGTTCTTGTTTTCCTAAATACAAGTACAAGAAATACAAGTAACATCTACAAAGCCATAACATTAATTATATTAACATGAATTGGGAAATGTTTAATTCCAATTTGGGAATTTTTATAAGATTTACTGCTGACACAGGTCCGAATATCAGTCTCCTAGCAGTTCCAGATAAATTCCTGAATACATCCCAAAGTTCAGCTTCCTTGGTCTGGCAATTTCAAAGATGTTTACAGAGCCAAAAATACATTTTGACGGAATTTAAGAGCTTTACAATACATTCTTAGGAGAAATGGCAGAGCAGTGGCCTTATATAGGGTTTAAATATAGGTGTCATGTCAGCCATACTGAAAATCATCTTCCCAAGCCAAGAGAGTTAACTGACTTTAAAAGTCCAGTTTCCACCCTTGCCGAACTAGGCTGGAATTCCTGGGCTCGATCGTAGCGCCACCAGTGGTTATTACGAGTTATGTCCCTACTATGTCTCCTATGGACCAATCAGATTCCACTTCTCGTATCACTTGCATTTGCTTCAAACAAAATGGTGGCGCCCTGTCAAGACGATCTGATCAATAATCAACATCTATATTGTGATAAAACAGGTCTTACATTGGGAAGTGCATCAAATCACGTGAGCACCTTTATTAAAAACCTGAAAAGATTTGATAAATAACTGTTGACGAGTTAGCGGTGTACATGCATTGCAAATCCTACAATCGACTGAAATCTGCACAACCGTTAACGAACTGGATTTCAATTTCGTTGCGAGATTTTGATTGGACTATGCATTAGTCCAGTCAAAATGTAACTCCATAATTCCAGCCTAGTTCAGCAAGGGTGGAAACTGGACTTTAATAGTCAGTTTACTCTCTTGCCTTGGGAAGATGACTGAAAATCAGATTCAAACCTCTTAAACAAATTCAGATGTTTTAACTGGTGGAAATAAGCATGTGAAGCTTCATCATGTTCATTGGTTGAATGGTTTCTGAAGAGATGATGTTTACAGTACACTAGTAGCCAAAAGATAAGTACATACTTTGGGCATACTAGGAGTGCTTTTGATATATTTATTGATGACTTTTAACATTTTTCCATTTTTTTTTACAAATTATTGTCATCCAGTTTTTTTAAAACAATCTAAAAATATCATTTGTTGTTTTGTTTTTTTAAATATTAGTTTTTACTTTTCGGTAAATATGCATTGAATACCTGTTACTGATAACACATTTAGAATTTTACTTGTGCTGTCTTTGAACTTGTCTGGACAAATCACTAAAGTCTGGCATCATCATATTTAGTGGTTGGTAGAATTATGTCCTACTTTTGTCAGATTCGGACCTCCAGACAAAACTTTTCCCTGTACCTGTCAAACTGAGCGCGAGGCCAGCTTTTACTCGGCGCTACTAATGTAAATAATGAACTTTTATAAGTAAAATATGCATGGTTAGATAAAATAAATGACATCTGATATAGAGAACACGAAAAATCATGAAGGTTAGTGAGTGCATTTTGTTCCGTTAAGCGTACATAACAAGTACCGCGATACCCCGAGGTTGCAGGCTACCCCTCAAATCAAGGATGATAGATCCATTCAACTAAACTTGCACACGCAAAAGACATGTCATGAAATTGAAACCAAAGATATGATTTGATTCCACAGTGACCACCGACACTGGGGTTAGTAACTTTCATAAAGCAGGATTAGTGCACTTTACCGGGCGCACTTTTTCAGATTCAATTAGCGCTGTGAGGGCTCAAAGCACTTCGCCGGCTCACCGGCTCTTAATGCGGTAATTAGCCAACGCTCTACCAATGGACCACGGGCGCTATCACATGTAATCAATGCTCGTTTAACGGGTCATTAGAATCCCCATTAACATGCTCTCCCATTCATCTTCCCATTTCTTAAACCACACCCGCCATTGTTTATGTCAACATGCCCGACCAATCAGATTAACCGGATTAACGCTTGAAAGGAAAGAATTATTTGCTAACCCTTGCCCGAAGCAAGCTTACCCTAAGGACCGAAAAGGGGTGTTGGATCGTAAAGACGGGGCACCTTTAGAATACAGTACCACAACTTCTCGTGAGGACGATCTCTGCCGTAGGTCACACGTCTCAAGACAGTTTTTGTGAGAATCCTTCGGACGCGAACTCACGACCTTCGGATTGTTAGCCTGACAGCTAACCGACTGAGCTACGTCCACACTGTTAAACTTAGTGCTAATTTACCTAGTCATGCCTATGACGTCACGGAACTGAACGAAAAGGGTCGAATAGGTGACGGACACTTACGAAGGTTACGGGTAGGCATGGTGTCTCGTGACTTACGAATGATCCCGATGCCATTTGGCACACTCGTCCCATTCCGTAATCTACAAGATACCGAGTGGTGAGGGATGAGCCGATATGCCCCGAACTGAAAACGGCTTCAGGCGTCAGACGTCGAACTCGCGAGTACGCATGAATGATATGGTGATTTTTGTGACAGAAAAGTGTGGTAGGGAACACTGTAAGGATGATGTGGATAATAATAAGGAACGAGGGAGGAATAAGCATGACTAGTGACGACACAATGGTGAGTTTGCTTTTGAATCAGTATTGAAAAAATGTAGCCGGTGAAGGGGCTTGTGTGAATGTTCCAGGACAGTTTCCAGTAGCCAAAGTATTCGACACAAAACCATTTCATACTTTTTACTCGACGTTTTAGTGGGAAGAATATTAGGGGCCGCTATAGAATCTATAATAGCCACTAAACGGGTAGATTTACCTAACCCTAATGATCGTAAAGGGATGATTGACCGTAAAGGGGATCCAAGGGCTAAGGACAGAGTTCGGGTAATCTAATAGCCACTAAATGGGTACCTAACCCTAATGATCGTAAAGGGGTGATTGATCGTAAAGGGGATCCAAGGGCTAAGGATAGAGTTCGGGGTAACCTACCCTAACACTAGTGATATTTGGATGTGTTCAGCGCCAACATAATATCCCTAATAAACTGCGTTCTTGTGCATAATAATGAAAATTAATGAACCGAAAAAATAATATATGTATATTAGTTCCCATTTATAACCATTTTAGCCACTTGAATTGCGAGAAAAACGAAATAAAAAATATATATAAAATGAAAGTGCTTTCGTAAACTAGCGCTTGCTATAAAATGCGCCGCCGCAGGCTATATTTAGTAAACAAATATTCAAAACTCTCCACACTGCTTGGCGTATTCAATGGCATTTCATGTAGAGATGATAGATCACTGGGAAAAGCTTATGCATACCCGATGACCCTTGACCTCACAGGGCATTGTTTCGCCAGTGTGACTGGCAACAAAATACCACAAATTACGTTATAGGGTATGATCACGTGTTTGAAAAGTTTGTGGTACTGTATTCTAAAGGTAGGCCAGTTTCCCTAAGACCGAACAATGGGTGTTGGATCGTAAGACGTGTAAGTTTCCCTAAGACCTAAAACGGGTGTTGGATCGTAAAGCGAGAGTCACCGGTGCGTGAGGCACAGTAACATTATAGCGAGTCAGCGGTGGCACTATAGTGCGGTAACTGAGCGGATGGCGGAGCTCGGGCTGTGCTCGGTAAACTGCATTGTTGCCCATAAAGCTAGAATATTACAACTGTCAACAACGAGTAATAGGAATTATCGGAAACGGTAATACCAAGAGTGATGGAGTATACTCACTTAGATATGCTTGTATCAATAATGACAGAGCGTGGACTACCTCTCCCTCCACTCCCGATTACAACAACATTTACGAATGAAGGAGCCTTGAGCTTGTCTCCCATTCTCTCTCGATACTTCACATGGCGAAGTTTCCTCTCGACTTTTATTCTCGGCATATTGTCCACCTTTGATATCCACTTGTTTACATCGGAGAATTCCGCTGGTCTTGAGCTGGAAAACCTCAATAACACTTGTCGAATACTAAACAGCGACTGTGATTTGATAAGCATTCCAGTCTCATGTCATATATATGCATGTAGCATTCTGCATATGTTACTTATTATAAAATTGACGTCAAAACAAAAACACATGCAAAGACACACACAAAACGTATGTCACATTATTTCACATTCAGTTTGGTATTTATTGACATGGTTGAGACTTAGCTCCAGCATTTATTCCAAAATGGGTTTGTTTCTCAATGTGTATTAATCCAAACAATATTCCACTATGTATATATATTTGACGTCCGTATTGACATTAAAATCAATGTCATCGCCTTATAGATGGCGCAGCTGTTGTTGCTGAAGCCTCTGTTAACTCATTGCAGTCGAACTCCGAGCCCGTTGTCGTAGTTGTCTCCAACGAATCTACGGGGCGTTTCCGTTGCTGAAGTTTCCTTCCACATCTGATCAGACTCTCGGCGCCGTGCAAGTCCATGGCTTGACAGGTGCTATTCACCGTGGTGCATTGTTCCTCACTGGAATACCATTTGATGAAATAACTTCGATATATATCACTGACAATTTGACTAGTTTTGTTAGGTTTGTTATCTTATCTATTAAGGAACCTATTCCGCTCTCGTTACCATGATCAATTTTGTTTAATCTGTCAAATTGCCTCAGACCCGCATTTTTAATGCACATACACCTTTCTAAAATTGTCATGTCCAGATTATCGAGCAACTGACGGTACCACTCAGGTAGATGGTGCCAAACTCGCCTAACATGTTTTAATTCACAGAAAATGAGAGCGAGCATGATGACTGCGTCATAGAAGCCTTTGTGTACAATGCTCGCTGTATGCATAAATATGCAGCTTTGTATCATAGGTATAAGTGGGAGAATCAAATTCGTTGCAACCTAAACCAATATTCTTTTGTAATCATGACAAGTATTTCAGCCAAGTATCACGATTATGTAATAGCGTAAAGGTGGCTGTCACGTGCCATCCCAACTGCAGACGTTTACCATGTATATATCCTTTCCTTAAGTAGATACATTAATGTGGTAATGATAGGGACAGACATGTTCTATTGTGCTAAGCAGTCACATCGATTTAAGTGTATAGAATTGAAGCCCGTGTTATAGTTTATAAGGTTTCGACCTTGCCATGTCAAATGTAATTATGTGTAAAGGGCGGAATTTGAACAGCGAGCTCATCGATTTTGGCATGGCGTATTACTAGCTGTACTTCGATTGAAAGAAAGTTCATGACGCAATTCAGTTTATGGCTTAGACGCACATAACGTAGACAATGTAAACTGTTATAGGACAATATGAACGTGGAATTAATTCACTGTTAATGGACCCGTGAAGATCCGTGAAGAGGCGACTATACTTGTCGTAAGAGACGACTAACGGGATCGGGCGATCAAGCTCGCTGATTTGGTTGATGCAGGTCATCGTATCCCAACTGCGTTGTTTGTTGCTCATGATATCAATCACTGGGCTGTCTGGTCCAGACTCGATTAATTGCGATTCGCTGTGCAGAGTTGAAACCTATGATTGTGGGTTCGAATCCCGGTTCGCCCCGATTATGTTTCTAGGTTTGTCTGCACCATACCCGTGCTCGTGGGTTTCACCGAAGCGGTAAACGTCTAAGACCTGCATCACTTGGGGCTTTCCTTCCACATTAAGCTGACACGCCGTGATATGAGTGGAATAATGTTAAAAACGGCGTTTAACACAACTCACTCACTCACTCCACCAAGTTTACTGCGTTGTAATCGGGGTTGGAGTAGGTCTTTAGCAACCCATGTTTGAAGTTAAAGGCGACTATGCGTGTCGTAAGTGGGGTCAGACACGCTGACTTGGTTGATGCCTGTCATCGTATTGCAATTACATGTATGTGAATCGATGTTCATGATATCAATCACTGGCTTGTCGGGTCCAAACTCAATTATTTACAGACCGTCGTCATACAGCTGGAATATTGCTGAGCGCGGCCTTAAACAACAAACAAAGAAATATACATCTTAGCAAAGTCGATGGAGCTTGTTGTAAGAGATATCGTATGCACCTCATCATCCGTCCTCTGTGCTTGGACACTGGGAGTAGTTGTGTAAGGCTATCAAACCAGCGTCTCTGTCTCGCAGGTTATCGCAACCTGTAGCCCGGTAGAGCCTCAAGCGGGATCATACCTTTGTAAAGTGCGCGACAAGTTGAGACCCGTGGAATACTATTGACTGCATTCTGTGCACAAAGCTGTTCGGCCTGTGTACCTTATCTGCTTTCCTTGAATAATGTCTCCTACTTTCTACCTTGGTTACAGAGATATATCGATTATATATGTAATTCCGGGAAAGATCTACTTTTCCTTTTAGAAATGTCGAACATCTATATATTGCAACGTGATAATCATAAGGGTTGTATGTGGTGTTTGCGATCAGGTGACGGTTATATCTATTTATTTACAAGTACAGTAAACTACGGTTATAACGAACACGCTTATAACGAACTAACGGATATAACAAACTAACGTTTTAGTCCCGACTATTTGCTGTAGTTATATATATGTTTTAACGAACTAAAATTAGTAGTCCCTTTGAGTTCGTTATAACCGTAGTTTACTGTACATCATCTCATGAAGGTATAATAAATGACCAGTTCCTATAATATCAAATGTTGTAACTGCTAAACATTTCATTTTCAGTGCATCTTTTAATATGTGTCAGCCTTGACAGATATGTTTTAATGTCAAATTGGCGTTTTCACACAAAATAATGAATTGGGGAATACAAGATATCATATTAAAAAAGATTAAAATGCTTAATGACAACGCACGGTGGCAGGCTTGCTGAATACGTGTACCTTTCACAGAAACAGAAACCGAAACTAGGACGCTTTTTTTCCCAGAACTGTAACAGGTTTTGCAACGAACAAGGTCTAGAACTTAACAGCGGTTGATAAGAGCCCGCTCAAAGCTCAAAGCGGATGCAAGCTTCGTAAATCGTGCTGTTTTGACGTAGGAGGACGCAGCCCGAAGAAACTCAGACAGATACGATGGGGGGAAACAAGAAGAAGAACCGCCATTCTATTCCGACGACACCCTCGCCTGATAATACAGGTAAGGATAGGTAGAATCGATGCACTTGGTTGAAATCAAGGCAAAACGATTTTGTGCGTGTTTTTGTATTTTTGATCCTGTAAATTCATACTTATCATATCATTACACTTTATTTTATATTTTATGCCACAGGTTAACTTTATTAACGTGTGCTCGTTCCTGAACAACTCCCACTCGAGTGTCCTTTCTTACCGTGCGGCGCTGTGACAATGAACAGCCTTGTTTCCTGGGTATGTTGCGCTGGCGCTACACTGTAGCCAGCGCAGCATACCAAGGGAACAAGGCTGTAACAATGAACTGTCTGCTTAATTCATAGTTTGCAGTCATATATTTTGTCAGTGAAGACAAATTGCAGTGGTTGCTGGACCCTGCCCACGCTTTCTATAATGTATAACAAGTTTGTCTGTTAATGTCATGGTGGTCTACATGTAGCCACACGTCGTCATCATGGTGAAAAGCCGTATGACGTAAATTCATTTCCTGGAATCGTCCACATGAATAGAACAGTACGATTGCACAAGGCCCTTGCATTGATAAATGAATATTATACTAACGCTTCTTTCAATATCTTTTTATGCACATTGCATGCTTGTTTTACCTTTAAAAAAGCTTAATTTAAAAAAAATGCAACAAAATGACACATCATGCAGAAACTATAAAGTTATATGGTCGCAGCCAAAGGAGATATTGGGAAACGGCTTTTATGTCTTGATGTATTTAATAATGAGATTACCCGTGAAAATCCGGGTCGAATGGTTCTTCAGCAACAGCTGTAACAGGCGACTAACGTAATCGGGTGGTCAGGTTCGCTGACTTGGTTGATGCATGTCACCGAATACCAATGGCGTGGATCGATGCTCATGGTGTCAATCGCTGGATCGTCTGGTCCAGGCTCGGTTATTTACAGACCGCCGTCATAAAGCTGGAATATTGCTGAGTGTGGTGTGAAACAACAAACAAACAAACAAACTTACAGTCAGCTTGATAAACAGTTTGAGTTTTCATTCAGTTTCATCTTTTGTTGTCTGTTTCGACATGCATGATGTTTCCGATATCCTGCTGAACAGTGGTCTATCCGAGAGCCGGGAATGCGGGAGGTAGGTGGTTCGATCCCCGGCCGCGTCATACAAAATAACGTTAAAATATGGTACTTGTTGTTACCCTGCCTGGCGCTTGGCATTAAGGGTATAAAACAAAGACCCGTCGGCTGAGTATACTGTATTTAAACGGGGAATCCGTGTTAGACTGCGGCATGGTATCTCAGTGGTCTAGCACAATAAAATCCGGACAACAAACAAACAATAATGAAATACTTCTGAGAATGTTTAGAAGCATTTTAAGGGGTACATTCAGAGGAGTAGGGTTTTGAAGACATGTAGCTCAAACAAAGTCAAATGATATGCACCCGGGGTGACCACATCTTCCCGAGGCAAGTGAGTTAACTGACTATTAAAAGTCCAGTTTCCACCCTTGCCGAACTAGGCTGGTATTATGGAGTTACATTTTGGCTGGACTAACGAGTCTATATGCATAGTCCAATCAAAATCGCGCACCGAAATCAAAATCCGGTTCGTAAAATGTCATGCAGATTTCGGTCGACTGCAGGATTTGCAAAGCAGGTGCACCGCTAACTCGTTGTCAACAGATATTTTCTAAATCTTTTCATGTTTTTAATCAAGGTGCTCACGAGATTTGATGCACTTCGTTTTGTAGGGAGCAAATGCAAGTGATACGAGAGGTTAAATCTGATTGGTCAATAGGAGAGGCATAGAAAGGACATAACTCGTAATAGCCACTGGTGGTGCTACGATCGAGCCCAGGAATTCCAGCCTAGTTCGACAAGGGTGGAAACTGGACTTTAAAAGTCAGTTAACTCTCTTGCCTTGGGATGATCGGGTGACCACTGACCAAAGTGAAAAAACATAAAAGTGAAGCATGTAATACTGCAGAAACATGTCAAGTTTGAAAGTTATTTGACAAGCGGTTGTGGATCAATATGGCAAAAACGTTTTTTAAATAGTTTTTGCACGTTGTCAGTTGTTCATCCACTCAATGAACCATTGAGACGACTTCCAAGTATATTTGAGTCGATGTCATTCTCTTAGCTATATTCCAGCTGTATGACGGCGGTCTGAAAATAATAGAATCTGCACCAGACAATCCTGTGATTGACATCATGAGCATCGAACATTTGGGATACGATGACATGCATCAACCAAGTTAGCGAACCTGACCGCCCGATCCCGTTAGTCGCCTCTTACGACAAGCATAGTCGTCTATAACGACAGGGGGGCATTGGTGGCCCAGTCGTCTTAGGCGCAGCAATTCGCTGTGCAGAGTTTCGTCCCTTGGGCACGCCAGAAACCTATGATTGTGGGTTTGAATCCCAGTTCGCCCCGATTATGTTTCTATGTTTGTCAGCACCGTACCCGTGGGTTTCACCGAAGTGATGCAGGTCTCGGACGTTTACCACATTATTTCTACCACATTAAGCTGACACGCCGCGATATAACTGGAACACTGTTAAAAGCGGTGTTTAACCAAACTCACTCATTTTTTTACGAAAATCCAGTAATATCATTAGACCGGAAATGCTTATATTTATGTTATTGATGTAGCTACAGGCATGGGAAACTAAAATGGAAAATATCTAATATGGACATCTGCCTTTACTCGCTCCGACATGATATAGATGAAATACTGTTCAAAGTTGCGTTAACCCCAATCACTCACTGATAAATTGTCAACCTGTCCACAGAGACAATGACTATAGTGTCGCCAGAAGAGAAAACTAAAGCCTTAGCCTCGTCCTTCGACGCTGAGGTGCGCCCTCTGATAGACCTGGTGGACAGACTCCGAGGGTATGGTCTGGACAGTGACATCAACCTCCCTTCCGTCGCCGTCATCGGGGACCAGAGTGCCGGCAAGAGCTCTGTTCTTGAAGCAATCTCTGGCGTTCAACTGCCAAGAGGAACGGGTAAGTTGTGTTTCAGAGGCTGGTGTTATACAAAACAACACAATTACATCGAACGGTAAATGGGTGTAATGCAGGTACATACACATGTATATCAACTGAGTCTGGATCAACATGTTGACAGCTTGGGCAAATACGTAGAGACTAGACATATTTGTGGTAAGTCTGCTGAAAGTCCAAAGCCATCTTCCGGGTGTATGGCATATTTTAATTCAAGTCAGATGTCGTCGATACTAAGCTTGAGCGTTTTTGAAAAGGTCAAAGGTCCCTGTACCATGCCCGAGTCTAGCCAACAGCAGATATAACTTGCAATCAATTTTGCAATATTATGAACGTCACAAATCATATGATATTTGCAAATTAGCCTGGGCCCACTTGCACAAAGCGACCTTAGCGCTACAACTATTGTAAGCCTATGTTAAAGTATGGGAGTTAAGATCATCTTAGCGCTAAGACTGATTTCGCGACTTTGCATTGACAAAAATTGATCAAATTAGTTATGTTCTCAAACACATTTGAAAATTCGAAGTGACTCGTTTTATATAGGCATAGTAACAAGGTGCCCGTTGGAGATGCGGATGAAGCATTCAGAAGATGAGGACATGTGGGCGGGAAAGATAATGTACAAGGACATGTATGACATGACCCATGAGGAAATCATTCTGAACAGAGAGAGCGTCGGAGAGCTCGTGCGGAAAGGTTTGAAACAATTAAATATATTGATTTTCAAATGTTCGTTATAACATGAACTAAGAATGAATCTATTCATTTTCACTTAGAACCAAATCAATATACTTCTGACCTACCAACTGTTTGTTTGTTTGTTTGTTTTTCACACCGCACTCAGCAGTATTCCAGCTATATGACGGCGGTCTGTAAATCATCGAGCCTGGAGCAGACAATCCAGTGATTGACATCATGAACATCGATCTACGCAATTGGGATACAATGACATGCATCAACCAAGTCAGCAAGCCTGACCACCTAATCCCGTTAGTCGCCTCTGACGACAAGCAAAGTCGCCTTTAACGGCAAGCGACATGCATCAACCAGGTCAGCAAGCCTGACCACCTAATCCCGTTAGTCGCCTCTGACGACAAGCAAAGTCGCCTTTAACGGGAAGCATGGGTTGCTGAAGACCTATTCGAACCCGGATCTTCACGGGTCGACCTACCAACTGAAAGATTTAAGTTCCGCAAGGTCTGAGTTCTGTTTAAATAGGACTTTACTTGGAGTTTAGACTGCTGTCTTGGCACGTGCTATTGCTATGTTCCATACAGCTCAGAAGGAAATGACAGATAGTGCGAAGGGCATCAGTGATGAACTCATTACTCTGGAAGTGACGTCATCAGATGTCCCTGACCTTACCGTCATAGACCTGCCAGGTATTGCAAGGAACGCCGTCGAGGGTCAGCCGTTGGATATTGAAGCGAGGGTAAGCTCTGACGTCACAGTAATACAGTGACACTGTTATACCAATTTTTAAAACATGTCATTCGGCCAGGAAAAGTACAATATAACCATTTGCTGGACAATAAAATTGAGAAAATATTTTTTAAAGACAGTGAAAGATCGATTTGTGCAACCAGGCATGCGCACTCTGGTTATGCGGACGCCATATCAAATTTTTCATTCAAAGGATATTTTTGTTATTCTAAACCTCTGATCAGAATAGTGAATTTCATAGAAAAGTTGTCCAATACATTGTACACCCAAGATTATTTTGAACTGATATGTACATCCTTTCAACAATATAAAAGAGTTTTAGAATATTTTATTCTGTCTGTAAATTATCTAATTATTTCAAAATCAGTTACGCCGTTATATTACTGGAATATTGCCAAAAGCGGCGTAAAACCATTCTCACTCACTCTCTCTAAATCAGTTACCATTTTTTTTCAGATTAAAAATATGATCCGTAGATACATTAGACGCCAGGAGACTATCATCCTTGCTGTTCTACAGTGTAATGTGGATATAGCCACATGTGAGGCACTCAAAATGGCAAAGGAGTTTGATGCCGAAGGTGGCAGAACTCTGGGTAGGTTGATCACTTTCGTTAAATGTTTAAAAAGGCCATCAGAAAATGTATTTAAATGATATTGATCTTAGTTTGTGTTGATACTTTCATGTAGATATGTTATCAATGGAATTTTAATATTAAAATGAATCTGCACAGGAGTTCTAACAAAGCCGGACTTGCTGGACAAGGGAGCCGAGACGGGCGTGGTGAGGATCCTCAACAACATGGAGTTCACACTGTCCAAGGGCTACATCATTGTCAAGTGTCGAGGCCAGGAGGCTATATCGGACGGCCAATCCTTGAAACAGGCGCTAGAAGTAGAAGAAGAATTCTTCAAAAGTCACAGACATTTTAGGTAGTGTTATCACCGCACTGAAAGGCATGCAACTTTGTACATACATCTATGAAAGCATCATTATCTGCAGGTAAGGCGTCAGACCAGTATATCTGTATCAGACCGGGTGTGATTGCGCTCAACTATCGACATCGCCCGCGCATTCAACTTTTGCCGGCTGTGACGACATAGCGAATAGCCAGTGGTTGTCCTCCCTAACGCATAAAACGAGGACGGCAGTTGTGTGCGGGGCTTATCGGTCGGGACTGGACTGGTCTATTCATGATATTAATCACTGGATTGTCTTGTCCAGAATTGATTATTTACGGACCGCCGTCATATAGCTGGAATATTGCTGGAGTGCGGCGTTAAACAACAAACCAACAACCAACCAACTTGCAAAATGGGGATAAATATGAAAGATGACATATAGAGTTTAGTTCGGGAATTATTATACCTATTTAAACATGCATCTAATTTAATGAGAGATTGTTACATGTATGTTAATTATCCGGGTTAGAATAGGTCTTCAGCAACCCATGCTTGCCATAAAAGGCGACTACAGTGTATGCTTGTCGTAAGAGGTGCCTAACGGTATCGGGTGGTCAGGCCTGCTGACTTGGTTGATGCATGTCATTGCGTGGATCGATGCTCATGATATCAATCACTGGGTTGTCTGGTCCAGACTTGATTATTTACAGACCGCCATCATATAGCTGGACTATTGCTGAGTGCGGCGTTAAACAACAACAGAAATTCCTATGTTCCAGCTCCTTGCGACCATCATTATCATTATTTACAGTAAAGACCAGTATGTTATTATCTATATCACACTGGGTGTGATTGCGTTCAACCATCGACTGCCGTTTACTTTCAAGATGGGAATAAATATGAAAAGTGCCATATAAAAATAAGCCAGGGTAAAATTATACCTATTTAAACAGTCATGTTATTTTATGAGTTACATGTATGTTTACTATGTTCCAGCTCCTTGCGACCATCTCAGTGGGGAATCCCCAACTTATCAGGTAGACTATCACGTGAGCTGAAGATACACATCAAGGTTTGTATACCAAAATAGTTACTCTAGCTTTGTCTGGAATATATTTTACGCACTTACACAGCATTTGCCTTTCGATTTTCGCCCTGTTAGACCAACCCGCCTCCCTTCCACACCCCCACCCCCCCCCCCCCTCCCCACCCCCATCCTGTTCCTGCTTTTAAAAATAATGCAGTGTTTGTGAAACTGGGAATGTCCCACGCGAATAACGCCCAAGGAAACTACCATTAGGTACTGTTCGGGATTGGGGAGGGGGCGAGAGAGGAGGCCTGAGTTTATATCGAAAACCATAAATTGTCATAGAAAGAACTTGAAAAATAAAAATTATTCTTCAGACTTTTACAATAAAATAATTTGTCTGCCAGAAAAATATCATAGTCGCAAGGTGTTTTTTAAAAGAAATATTTAGGCCCATTGTTTTAATTTTAAAAAAATGTGTATGGTTTGGCATTTGTAGTTAAATAATATGTAGTCTCCATACAAACTCCCAGGTCTTCCCCCGCCCCAGAATATCAAATAGTCGGTCTCTTCAGGCTATTGGCATGCTTCAAGTTGGTAGACTAACGGGATCGGGTGGTCAAACTCGCTGACTTGGTTGATGCATGTCTTCGTATCCGAATTGCGTAGATCAATAAGCATGATGTCAATCACTGGATTGTCTGGTCCAGACTCGTTTATTTACAGACCGCCGTCATATAGCTGGAATATTGCTGAGTGCGGCGTTAAACAACACACAAACAATAACTCTTGGTAACTCTACAACATGTGACAAATATTGAAGGCCAAATTAACCTTCAAATAAATATGTTGAAAGAAATATTCTATGTCCGATAACTCAACAAGAGCAACTTTGTACATATTATTCCTAGAGTAGGACATTCAAGTTGAAGTTTCAAGTGACCTTCATTCTCGAAGTAGTTCTGACTATTTAGGTACTGAAACAAATACCTGTTGTATGACATGTTAATGAGAGCTAGCACCAATGTTTACAACTATAAAATTATAAGTGCATTGCCAAACTGCGAAGAATGTCATGAAATTCTGTGATAAAAATGCACAAAACTATTATCAAGGCAGCTAGAGGCATTCCTTTCAAGTTGTACAGCATTGTGTTTCCTCAAACCGGAAATGCTTGCATTAACTGGAAGTGCGTATTATTCTCTCATTCAGGCAGTTTGAGCCAAGTTTCGAAGTACTGAACTTTTTTTTTGAAACGGAACGATATGGTTAAACGTAAGTGACAGTACTCTCTTATCAAGGTAGCTAGACGCATGGGGATTTCTGTTTGAAACTACAGTAAAGTACGGTTATAACGAACTCAAAGGGACTACTAATTTTAGTTCGTTATAACCGTAGTTCTTTATAAGCATATATACAGCATAACTACAGCAAATAGTCGGGACCAAAACGTAAGTTCGTTATATCCGTAAGTTCGTTATAAGCGTGTTCGTTATAACCGTAGTTTACTGTAGTTTGAAACTTGAAACTAGAAATGTATGAAGTAGGTTAGCTGGAGACGTGTCCTTTTAGATCTGATATGAGCGTCTATTTTAGAAGACCAATGTTTTCCCAAACGGAAGTACATGTAATGGTTTCTGTGGTCTTGGTGAAATGGCAGGGAAGGGGTTGATACTGTGTTTACTTACAAACAGGGATTCTATTTGACACTGCTCATCATGAACAATGTTGCAGAAACGGTTACCGGGCCTGAAGGAGGATGTGCGCAACAAACTTCTTGAGACGGAGTGTGACTTACATGAACTTGGCGAGGATCCGCCAGCGACAGCCTCAGAGAAGCGGCAGATGGCTCTCCGGGTAAGTGACTGAGTTGGGTTTAAATAACCCTTTTAGAAATATTTATTTCACGGGCATATAATGTAATAAAGGCTTCATCCCCATGTGGGTAATCGAAGTCAGTTAGTAGAGAGGCTACGCCAATGTAATTTCTTAGGAATTAAATATACATTGAACACACGAAAGTGGTCAAATGTAACTAATTTTATATATTGGGATAACATTTTCTTAGTAAAGCTCACATTCTCGTACTTTATTGGGTTGAATCCAATTCAGGATTCGACCCAATACTGCCAGAGTGAGGCAATTAATCGCCAGCACACAAAGTCAGCGCTCTAACCCACCCAGCCACAGAGGCTTCCACAATAATGAAAGTCCGACAACTGGTTGTCAAGATCACGTACTTTGTGTATCCCTCTGACAAGTGTAAATTGGCAGGACTCCCGTGGCTGAAAGCTATGAACACACGGTGCCATTTAGAAAGTGGTCAAATGTAACTAGTGTTACATATTGGTGGCAGTGAGGGTTCGAATCACGGATGGGACTCAACCCAAACAAGTACGTAAATATGTACTTTACTAAGAAAGTGTTATCCCAATATATAAAATTAGTTGCACTAAACATTGACTAAAATGACTCAACAGATAAAACAGGTAAGATAGTATAAACCAATAACAAGCAATCCATGATGACGATGCAATAACAAAATAACAATTGTATGCCATTTATGAACTTTGAACGGGTGTTGTCGAAATTGTTTCCGTTTACAAGCCGATTCAGTGTATACATGTATTCATATTCTTATAAGTTTCACATGGTCCCAAATCTATAAACTTATTTAGAGGAAACACCAAAGTAATTTCATGGAAGCAATATTTTATGAGGTGTTATGTTGTCACAGATGGTCACCGAGTTTATCGACATTGCCACCACGTTGACGAATGGAAAACGTTGCGATGACCCCAAGTTTCCGCCACAGATTAACACCTTATTCAGTGTTGCTCGCGGGTCTTTCGCAGAGTTGCATAAAACCGCTGCTCAAGAGCAACCAGGCATGTAGATTGCATAACTACTTAAGAATATTTTATAGGCATTTACATTTTCGCGACTTTGTGCTATATTACACAAGACTGATTTACAAATTGCATTTTAGCACAGTGACCATGGTAAACAATTGAAACTGAACGAGGGGAAGTAAAATATAAGAAATATCAATCGCGACAATAATCAATAACTCATAAACAGTTCAATATTTCTTCATGAACTTTGCCTACAAATGGTCTAAACTGATGCCTTTTGACCTTCTGCTCTCCGGGCGGATGCTCTACCACTGGACCACGGCGGCGGTCACTTGCATAGGATCGATTCAGGAATTGTTTCAATGCTTTAGCTATTCGTTTGTAAAAATTAATTTTAGAAATATTTCACAATTCACTAATTATAATATTACTAATTCACGTTATTGGAATGTAAGGAAAGCACGTAAAGAATAGAGGGAATCATTTATCGTAGTCTTTCGTTATCAACCATAATAACAGTTCATCGAGTGGCAATAGCTGAACTGAACCATGGCTTCTTTGTTTGAATTAGGATTAACATACTGAATTGTTTGTTAGGGACTTTAAAACTGACCTCAGGTGCTTATGTTCACAATACATTGACTGACACATACATGTACGTATTTTCTCCTGCTAGACACAAAGGATCGGACACTGAAGACCGAACTACAACTGAGAATGGAAGTGTCCCGAGGTCGAGAGTTCTGTAATTTTCTGGGCAAATTTGAACTGGTTGAAAGTTATGCTCGGGAATACGTCTTGAAATTGGAACCACCTGCGCTTCGCTGCTTCGACGAAGTACATAGCAAGACGATAGAAATTCTAAAGATCCTAGCAGAAAAGTGTTTCGAGAAATTCCCTGATTTTGCAGACAGAGCAAAGGTCTTTAACACATTTTAATTCCTTCTCTTTAGTTAATCGTATTCTTTCACACAGTAATGAGCTAAGGCAATATCATTAAAATCCGATCTTAGTTCTCGCTACCGCTAAACAAAGATCTGAGGACATCCCATTGCGGTTCACGTCAGACCGACCTTGCGCGAACTTTGACCGACCAATCGAATGACCAATCAGAAGGCAGCTTTCTCGTGCTTTACGGCACAAATTTCAAATTGGCGACTACGCTTCGAAACATATTTTGACAAATTCTAGATTTCAAATTTGAAACCTGAACAAAAAAACCCATTTGGAATGGCTAATAGATGGTCTAGATTGTAAGGTTTCAGTCGTTAAACCCGGAATACCCCCATGTTAAAGTTTTCGAGATTGCATGTTTAGAAACAATACATTGTTGTATACATTGATATGACCCCAGGGCACATATGATTTTTATGAACCCCTATATGTTTGCCCTCGTAGGTAATAATGTAAGGGTAATGCTATTTTTCAGGGCATTATAATTTGCAGAAGCCCGAGGTCTTCCATTAACTGCCCGATGAAGGAGGGCATTATCAGGTTACAGTGGCCCGCCCATTTCTGATAACGTGCGGGCTGTTTAATGATAATTCTGTCCATTTTAGCTATAATATTAGATAGACATCAGTAGACATCTTACATGTGCAATGTATGTATTATTGTAATTCTTGGAATATTTCTGTTTTCTACATCATCAGGAAATTATCATGAAGACAAGGAAAGCGACTCAAAATGACTGCAAAGAGGAAATACAGAGGTATTTCAAGATGGAGAATCTCGTGTACTCCCAGGATCAAACGTATGGCGGCGAGTTACGTAAGTGGAGTCAGTGAATACAGTTATCATCCCATTGACTGGTCTCTCGGTATCTATAAGAATATTTCTAAATTTACTTGGCTTGTTAGTGCCGACTCGACTATTTACTCGACTACTATACGACCGACATATTTTGACATATCTACAAACTGGCTCGTACAGCAAATAGAGTTATGAATATATAGAAGATATATCACGTGTCGAGTCACGAGATGAGAGAAACATGACATTTCACGAGACACATGGAATATCCAATTTATATATACTTTTTGTGCAGTTTTCTATATTCCAAATGTAAATCTTTAAACGTAAATTCTGCCTACCTGACACGAAGGCCGTTTCACCACCCCTTGTGGTTGCGGCTTAAAAAGTAGTTCTGAATTTGCAAATTCTCAAAAATTATAAACAAACGTATTGAGCGTCACGAAAGTTCTTTATCATACATTCGGATATGATTGTATACAAAATCAACTTTAACAAATTACCCTTGAAACCGACGAGACTCCTGTTTGATGGGAATGAATACAAGCTGGTCAAGTAATAAAAATGGTGCTTTCCGTAACGAACAGTCTCGATTGGCGAGATAAATGAGACATTTACAGTTTCTAACGAAACATTTTTCGAGAGAAAAACGAACACCAAGAAGTGTAGGTGTTACAATACAAGTATACTGACATCATTCAATTGACTGGGACCCGTGAAGATTCCAGGGTAGAATAGGTCTTCAGCAACCCATGCTTGCCGTAAAAGATGACTTTGCTTGTCGTAAAAGGCGACTAACGGGATCGGGTGGTCAGGCTCGCTGACTTGGTTGATGCATGTCATCGATCCCAATTGCGTGTATCGATGCTCATGATATTAATCACTGGATCTTCTGGTCCAGACTCGATTATTTACAGACCGCCGTCATATAGCTGGAATATTGCTGAGTGCGGCGTCAAACAACAAACCAACCAACCAAATCCATTGACTGGTCTCCGAAAAGTTTTCTGAATTCACTTGACTTGCAACTGGTTATGCTTCTTCCAAGATGCGTCTTCAATCATGTATTCTATGAATATGTGCTCTTCGAGTTTTTCCTGGGTCGTTATGCAACTTTACAATTTTCAGATAAAAAACACTTGATTTTCGACCGCCTCCGTGGCCTAGAGGTAGAGCGTCCGCCCGGAGAGCGGAAGGTCAGGGATTCGATCCCCTGCCGCGTCATACCAAAAGACGTTAAATTATGGTACCTGTCTGGCGATGGGCATTAATGGCTAAAACATGACTTGTCGGCTCGGAGTCAGTATAATGTGTCGGAGTGGGGATATTCATGTTAAACTTCGGCATGGTATCTCAGTGGGCTAGCACTATTCGGCATCAGTCCGGACTAGTACAAGCAGCCACACACACACACACACACACACACACACACACACACATATACGTGCATGCATGTCGCTATATAAGTGCAATAATCTTGGACGCGACGTTAAACCCAATTTCACCTCACTTGATTTCCAATGTTAGAAAAGTGTTCGCATGACTGGACATACATCATATATACTTTCACCGACAAGTATTGATCTATTTGATACCAAAATACGCTTTGGAGATATTCACTTTCTAAAAGGACTGTGTCAGTAATCACTTAATAAGCGTTGTCTAAATGCATTAATATATTTGGCTGCGCAGAAGTTCGCTTAAGAATAATCAATCAAGCAAATGAACAAAGTCAACAATGAAACTAGCATCGGAGATCGTCCATCCGCCCGCTTCTCAAAGGAGACACATTTTCTCAATAACAATTTAAAGTTATAGAAATTAAATTTGCCACACTGTTTTAGTGGTCTTAAATGAGTTATGACCCTTGCGCCGTGCATTTCAACTTGGGCCATACTGCGTGAAATGGTGACAGGTTTTCTACTAAAATTACATGAATGAAAATTTGCATGCTTATATAAGAGATACTTGTCAAGACTGATTTCGAAATTTGTATGTATACAATTACATGATAGTTGAAATGAAATACAAATTCAAACTGACAAACAATGAAAATAATTTAGCTGGGGTAAGAGTATTCGGTGTCACGGGCAGTCGGCTGCGAGTTCAACTCCAAGCATGGTTGTAGCCACCTATCACAGTGGGGAGCTTTGTCTGGTGGAGCGATAGTGTAAGCGAGCTCCGCGAACGGGATGACGATGTGAGGAGCTTGAACGTTTTTAGAGTTGGAGTATACACAGTTACTGCCCTTGATCCATGTTAGAAAGAGTATAGTGTCTACGATAGGGATACATTTTCAAAGAAACTACTGAGATTAGCTTATCTAATTGATACTTATTAAGACTGAATACGAGAATTAGTGCCATAATTTTTTTCCAGAGAAGGGTCCTTTTGTGTGTATAAATATTGCACATTTAATATTTTTTTCTGATGACACTCCAGCGACCCTTGTGACTATCCGTTCTTAAGGCTTTATAGGACTCTTTCTTTATAGTTTATATTCACTACTTTATGAACAAACAAAATTCTAATGTTCCCCATGGCGGGCGATGGTGATAACGCTGTTTCTTGTTAATTCTAAATTTGTTGGCTCTGTTACCATGGTGACCATCAAAATCTGTTTATTTCTCAGTAGTGAACATGTAATGTAGTCCTTTTGCGAATGTTTATTGTCGGTTCTAGGAAAAGAAGAGGAGAAACGAAGGGAAGAAGAGGAGGATGTAGCAGAGAGGAAACATAAGGCAGCGTCAAAATTTAACGTTCAGATAGGTACTGGCGTATTGATAGCGTCACGATCACGAAAAGGACTTCTCATTTAATACATCAGAATGTAATATCTGCTTGACTCCTGCGATTTGAACCCAGTCACTATATGTAGTGCTGTTAATAACTTTATCAAAATTAACATAGTTCCTCGATAGTGTGTATATAGAAACAATATACACGCTGAAGCTACTCCTTCTGATAATGAATATGCATCTACCGAGTACATAGTTACACAATATGATTTTTATAACATTTTTATAAGAATGTTTCTACATTTCAGGCTCTGTAAAGGATGAAGATGTGAACGGTATCGGCAAGGCATTGCTGAGTCTAAAATCCTATTACCAGGTACATTCGCTATATCTTACTCCATGATGAATGTGTCTTTTCAATTTGACCCGCCCGGCAATTGTTTTTCTCAACATATGTCATGCATAGACTTCAAACCCGATACAGCTCCCATATAACACTGGAGACATTATAAGACATGATAATGCGACACTGAAGGTCGACATTACGTTCAAGTTTTTCCTCATTTTCCAAACAACAGCTTATTTTTGCGAAGAATTTTATCGATTGACTCAAGCTTTTGTCGATATACCAATCTGACATCAACAAAATATTTGAGGCTTAGAACTTATTTCATACATAAACAGTTACATATTTCTGAGAGGTCCTTATAATGATAACATATAGCAAAACCCTTAAAAATGGCAGATTTCTGGTAGTCCTTAGGATACCTTAACTATTGGGCAGTTTGGCAAGAATTATAGGACTAGTGCCAATTTCTACCGCTGGTATAGTCAAACATTCGTCGACATATTTTGCTTAATACATAAGAATATGACAGGAATTGTTGCCTACTAGTTTCTTGTAGGAGTAGAATGTTGGATTGTCATAGCAGTAAACTGGTATATACCTGTTTCTTATTGTTGTATCGATAGGGCAGACAAACGAAAAATGTATGACATTTTCACTTCATTAAGATTACAATCTTTACAAACACACTGAGATTCATCAACACCCTCGCTCGCCCCACAGTTGTCTGAATAGGCAACTCGTTTAATCTCAATAAACATAAAAACCTGACTCTGTCGTCTCTTTCTCGTATATTCATTACGTAATACCCAGTATTTAACATTGTACATAATTCCGTCACCTGGTAGCTGAATTCATTTTATTAGTAAGAATCTAGATGTTACGCTCACGTAAACGATTCTTGAATACTACCAAGAAGAGATTGAAATCGCCAATGTTCTGGGATTGCCATACATCACCAACACCGACGCTGAAGATTAAATGCTAGTATCTAACGTCCCCTGCCCATGTTTTGACACCAGCTTCATCCAAGCCTTTTCATTAAAAGATAACACCGATATAGTGAGAACCCCGTACCTGAAGATGCAACCAAATCGGAAGGTCTAAAATGTACCCTGTGCTAGTTTTGTGGTTTGCCGGGAGTATATGCATTGCATTCTAGAATGAATAAGTGAAACGAGTGTATTCGTGTTTCTTCAGTGAAAGTGGAATCTTTTCATGTAATTCTTTTGCGTGGTCAAGGAGAGAGAACTTCTGCTCTCTGTGTACCAATCCTCGTGTACATTTGTTGCAGATTGCTGCACAGCGTCTCTGTGACGTCATCCCCATGATCATCCAGCTGCACGTGTTCAAGGAACAGGTGGAGGATATGCGAACCCAGCTGATGGACATTGCTTCTGATGAAAAGACCATGGACCACATCGAGGAAGATGTAGACATGGCCTATAAGCGGAGAGAATGCAAGTCTCGTCACGAGAGACTCCAGCTGGCGGAGGAAGAACTTGACAAAATCTAATTTTCATTAATGTCAATCCATGCTCTGTCTCTGCTTGCTTCTGTCACCGATCATCGTTGTCCTGACAACCCATCTGTAATTTCTTTAATGCATTGACATATGTTAATGATGTATTGGGAATCGTCCCAAGCCAGCAGGAATCAAGCGATCGGTATGCTGCAAGAAGGGGCAACTCAAGTGATCATCGCCAGGTGTGTTAACGTCCATCCATGCACGATAACTCGACTGTGGCATCGTTTCAACCTTTTGGTGCTTTTGGGACCCGCTGTGTCTCTGCTTGCTTCTGTCACCAATCATCGTTGTCCTGACAACCCATCTGTTATTTCTTTAATGCATTGACATATGTTAATGATGTATTGGGAATCGTACAATGGACTCTTTTATTTATACGGATAAAAAGTTTCTCCATGGCAGGAAACGAAGCCATTTTGGTTTTGGAATGGACGAATGTATCATTCCGTATTACGTGTTATTATAACTGTTCATTTTCTAAATGCGTTTTAGCTTTTATTACTTGGTTTATGGTTTTTTACAAATCAGGAATGATATGAAAACATTCAGTCTAAGGTTTCGTTTATTATCGCTGAGCCTGATAGTCACTCAAACGTGACAATACTCGCAAATCATTTCCCTGCCTTATCCGACCCCTGAAGATTCCGGGGTGGAATAGGTCTTCAGCAACCCATGCTTGCCGTAAAATGTGACTATGCTTGTCGTAAAAGGCGACTAACGGGATCGGGTGGTCAGGCTTGCTGACTTGGTTAATGCATGTCATCGATCCCAATTGCGTGGATCGATGCTCATGATATCAATCACTGGATTGTCCTGGTCCAGACTCGATTATTTACAGACCGCCGTCATATAGCTGTAATATTGCTGAGCGCGGCGTTAAAAAACAAATCAACCAACCCTGCCTTATCCAAAGTAGTAATACATGTTCAGTGACGCGTAATCCAGTCTCATTACATCACATTGACGGGGGCACGGGTGGCCCAGTCGTCTAAGGCGCCGCGATTCGCTGTGCAGAGTTGCGTCCCTTGGGCACGCCAGAAACCTATGATTGTGGGTTCGAATCCCGGTTCGCCCTAATTATGTTTCTAGGTTTGTCAGCACCATACCCGTGCTCGTGGGTTTCACAGAAGTGGTAAACGTCTAAAACCTGCATCACTTCGGGCTTTCCTCCCACATTAAGCTGACACGCCGCGATATGACTGGAATACTGTTACAAGCGGCGTTAAACCCAACTCACTCACTCACTCACTCACATCACATTGACCAATTACATGATTTAGCATCACCGGTACTCCAAGCAGTGCATATCACAGGGCGACTAACGCGATCGGGTGGTCAGGCTCACTGACTTGGTTGATACATGTCATCGATCCCAATTGCGTGGATCGATGCTCAAGTTGGTAGACTAACGGGATCGGGTGGTCAGACTCGCTATCTTGGCTGATACATGTCTTCGTATCCGATTTGCGTAGTGTTATGTGTATGGGTGTATGCTTTTATATGTTTGTTAGTATATCAGATGCATTTAGACTTGAATTGAAACAAGAAGGCTTGGGTTGCGTAATTTTGCTTGAATACTACACCTGGGGAGCTGGCTGACTGAGCGGGTTAAGTAATTATGTCACAAGTGAAGCTTGTAGCTAATCAGCATTATAGTAAAAGGTGGTGGTGATTCAAAAATAGTTAGTTTTTCTGCTTCTTGGGTGTTGGCCAGACCTGTATTTTAACCTCCTCATTTTTAATGTTAAAGTTCAGAACACTGTGTGAGAGATTGTATCCCATGTCGGGGCTTGTGAAACTGAACTAGAAATCATGCTGATATTTGTATACAATTTGCTGTAGCCCTTTGATGGTGATATTATTTGTACATGGTAGCCCAAGCCTAATTCTCCCATAGTAAACTTAGCTGTATTGGTAATCTATCATGCATTGTTAATAAATATCTGTCTTAATTGTTGTGCGATCCTTTCATTGTGCGAATGGATTTGGAGTGTATCCCTTCGTTCCACTTCCACTCGTAACAAATTGGGGGCTCGTCCATTTCTTTAAAGGGAACTATAATTAAGCGGGAAGCAAATTTGCATTTGTGTGTTAAAAGCAATACAAAAGTTAAAAAAAGATGAAGTATTTGCTATATATTGGCAAACATCTTTGGGAGAGCACAACAATGTTGTTTTGTATATCATAGGTACTTCAATATCACATGTGTATGATAGTGCAACATGAGTTTTGTAATTATTGAGTTTGTGAAATCAATGACCAGAGCTAAAATTCTCAACCTCCCAAAAGCAGATTTGTTTGTATTAGCTGATTATTTCAGTATTGATGTTGATAAGGCAGCTAAGAAAGGTATTATTCAAAATGTGATATTGGATGATTTAGCCAACAAGGAATTGATTAGAATGGATAGTACTTCGGAGGGGTATGATGATGGGAGAACTCATCAGACACAATTTGACCGAGAAATTGAGTTGTTAAAATTTCAAAGTTTAGAGAAAGAACGAGAACGGGAGTTTGAATTAGAGAAGCAGAGATTGGATTGGGAGGAGAGAGAGCGTGAGAGACAATTTCAGTTAGAAAAGTTAGATCGTGAGAGACGGAATGAGTTAGACAAGATCGGAGCTGCTCATCAGCATGTGGATGTTTCTAAATTCATTAGGTTTGTGCCTCGTTTTCGGGAAAGTGAAATAGATACATATTTTGATCATTTTGAGAAAACGGCAACACATTTAAAATGGCCTATAGAGTGTTGGACTACTTTGTTACAAAGTGTGCTAGTGGGTAAGGCTCATGAGGCTTATGCAGCTTTATCTTTGAGTGATAGTGCAAGTTATGAGTTGGTCAAGGATACTATTTTGAAGACATATGAGTTGGTGCCAGAAGCGTACAGACAAAAGTTCAGGAACTACAAAAAATATGATAACCAAACGTATGTTGAGTTGGCCAGGGCCAAAGAGACTGCATTTGATAGATGGTGTACATCTAAGAAGGTTGATAGACAGTATGATAATTTGAAACAGTTAATCCTGGTTGAAGAGTTTAAAAGGTGTAGTTCTACTGAGATTAAAGTGTATTTGGATGAACATGGTGTAAACACTTTGAGTGAAGCAGCTAGATTGGCAGATGAGTATGCACTTACTCATAAGAGTTCGTTTTCACGAAATTTTCAATCTAGCGGAGGTCAAGGACGTGGTAGTGCCAACCATACCTTGGGTCACAATTCTCAGTCATCTAGGTATTATAGTCGTGGCAGTAGTAATTCATCCCAGAGTCAGTCATTCCAGGGCAATCCATCCCAGGGTCAGTCTTATTACTACTCAAATAGTAATGTTGGTCAGGGGCGTGGTCAGTCTAACTACTATTCCAATGGTAATGGCGGTCAAGGTCGTGGTCAGTCGAATTACTATTCCAATGGTAATGGTGGTCAGGGTCGTGGTCAACCTTATGGCTATTCCAATGTTAATGGTGGTCAGGGTCGTGGTCATCAAGGCAATCGTGGAGGTCAAGGGGCAGATAATCATCCAGGCAATCAACAAGGCAGAACAAACACTTATACAGGGGGTGGTAGAAATCCAACTCAAGATAGAAGTGTCCAGGGTAGTAGTTGTGCTGCATTGTTTGAAAAGTCACCAAGCAGTTTTCTTGCAAAAGAAAGCCCTGTTATTGAGTCGAAGTGTGATGTTGAACTAGACAGGCATAAAGCATCTTATGATCCTTTCATATCTAAGGGTGAGGTTTCACTGAGCAATGGTGAGCAAAATCCAATTACTATTCTTAGAGATACAGGTGTTTGCAGACACTTATATTGGAGGCATAGTCCCTCTGTCAAAGAAAACTTACACTGGTACAAATGTCCTCATGCAAGGTATTGAGTGTGGTGTGATTAAGGTTCCTCTTCATAGGGTAGAACTTAAGTCCAAATTTGTATTAGGAACTGTTATTGTTGGAGTTAGAGAAAAACTGCCTGTTTCTGGCGTGGGTCTTCTGTTGGGGAATGATTTGGCTGGAGGGGAGGTTAAGGCTCATGATTCAGTTGGTCGGGTGGACCCAATTGTTTGTGAGGAACCTACCGTTTGTGCAGATGTAGTGGGTAACAATATTTCAGAGACAGATCAGAGTTTGGATCATGAGGGTATAGATGATATCGTATTGTATCCTTCATGTGCTGTGACGAGGGCAAGAGCAAAAGCTCAGTCAGAGGAGATCTCAGTCCCAGTTGAGAAAGTTAGTGATTTTGAGTCTGAGTATGATTTGTCACATACATATATGAGTGAGGTGGATGTTGTGAAGGATACTGATGGTAGTAATCCTGTGGGGTTAGCACAAAGTGGAGACAGTTTTGAAGGAGTTTGGTCCAGAGAAGAACTCATTAGGAATCAAAATGCAGATGTAGAGGTACACAAACTGAGGGATAAGGTTTTATCTGAGGTGGAGATTGAAAATGTACCTGTTGGGTATTACTTGGATATGGATGTTCTCATGAGGAAGTGGAGACCGCCGGATAGTAGTGTGGATGAGTTTTGGCAGGTTCAAAACCAAATTGTAGTGCCGAGATGTTATCGTCGTGACATTCTCAGTCTAGCTCGTGATCCGATGTTAGCAGGTCATTTAGGAGTTACTAAGACATATCGGAAATTGCTGAACCATTTCTATTGGCCTGGCTTGCAGGATGATGTGAGGAAATATTGTAGGACTTGTCATACTTGTCAGTTGGCAGGAAAACCTAATCAGACCATTCACAAGTATCCTTTACAACCAATTCCAGCATTTGAGGAACCTTTCTGTAGAATTTTGATTGATTGTGTGGGACCATTACCAAAATCTAAGGCAGGCCATAAGTTTTTGTTGACCATAATGTGTACTTCCACAAGGTTTCCAGAGGCAATTCCTTTACGGAATATTAAGGCAAGAACTATCTGTGACGCACTAACAAAATTTTTCACTGTTTTTGGATTGCCTAAGTCACTACAAACGGATCAGGGTTCAAATTTCATTTCTAATCACTTCAAAGATCTGATGCGTGAGTTGGGAGTGAGACAGTTTACGTCTAGTCCATATCATCCAGAATCACAGGGAGCATTAGAAAGGTTCCACCAGACATTGAAAACTATGCTCAGAGCTTACTGTCAAGATCATGATAAAGATTGGGATAAGGGTATTCCTTATGTGCTTTTCGCAGTGAGGGAAACTGTGCAAGAGTCATTAGGGTTTAGTCCTTTCGAGCTAGTGTTTGGTAGACAAATGCGAGGTCCATTGAAATTGCTGAAGGATGCATGGTTGAAGGAGGAGACGGAAACGAATTTGTTACAATATGTGACAGATTTCAAAGAACGAATGAGTAGTGCTAGTGAGTTGGCAAAGAAAAAACTTACAGGATAGTCAGGTACGCATGAAACAGTGGTATGATAGAAAGACTGTCGAGCGTGAGTTTAAGCCGGGAGAGAAAGTGCTGTTGTTACTACCGTTACCAGGTCAGCCACTACATGCAAAGTACTTTGGGCCATATACGGTGCTCAAAAAGGTCAGCAATACAGATTATGTGATAAGTACACCAGGCAAGAGAAAGGCTAAGAGGTATTGTCACATTAACATGATCAAAAAGTATCATGAAAGAGAGCAGGAAAGTATATATCTGTGTGTATGCTGAATGTTCAGGATGATAAGTCTGATACTGGTCAGGAGCTTCAGTTTGAAGGTATGGATATGCCTAAGACTAAGCTAAACAACTCTGAAATATTAGAGAACTTGGATGATAAGCTATCGCACATGGTTGACAGTGAAAAACAAGAGCTGATAGACTTAATTCAAGAGTTTAGTCATTTATTTCCTGATACACCATCACGTACTAATATGATAGAACATGATGTAGACGTGGGTGAGGCTAGTCCAGTTAAGCAACATGCTTATCGATGCAATCCAATTAAACTAGGGCTATTGAGAAAGGAAATAGATTACATGCTGGAGAACGATATCATACAGCCTAGTAGTAGTCCATGGAGTTCCCCTTGCATTCTTGTGCCCAAGTCTGATGGTGGGGTACGCTTTTGTACAAATTTTAAGAAGGTCAATTCTATGTCTAAAACTGATTCTTATCCCTTGCCAAGAATAGACGACTGTATAGATCGTGTAGGGAATGCAAAATATGTGACAAAGTTTGATCTTTTAAAAGGCTATTGGGGCATACCATTATCACCTAAGGGAAAGCAAATATGTGCATTTTGTACTCCAGATGGCTTGTTTGAGTACAATGTTATGCCTTTCGGGCTCAAAAATGCACCCGCAACATTCCAACGCTTAATGAATCAGATCATTTTCGATGAAATGCTGGCACCAATTGTGCTCCCCTTCTTGCGGATCTGTTTCCTTAGGCATATGAATCGGAATTTCTGTTCGGATTTGGCCAAGTTAAAACAATGCAACTTGGCCCAGAAGTTTAACTTCAGCTTTCTCGATGATCTGATATCGTTCAATAACAATCAAATAGCCTATTCCCTTCCACTGATTTACCCACCTGAACTAGAAATAAAGGAGACCAGTGAGACCGCCTCATCTGTTTCATATGTAGGTTGATGTATAAAGATTCAGTGACAAAACACTTTCCACAAGACTGTTTGACTTCAACTTTCGAGCAATATTCCAGCAGCTCCATCCTTTGGTGTTTACATTTCACAACTTTTGAGATACAAACGAGCATGCTCTTTCTACCAACATTTCAAACTAATCTTGTTCGCTAGTTGTAAAGCAGTAAAGCTTTCAAAAGGTTTTACGGTAGACATTTGGAGGACATTTCCAAATTTGACGCATCAGTGACAAAAATGATGTCCGATGCAATTCCCTATTTTGACCATATGTTCCCATGTTTTTTCAGGTGAACAATTGACTTGCCTTTGCATGTATATGTGACGGGTGCCACGAACCCCTTGTATCATTACTATTTGATAGTGAATCATAAACACATGCTCATGATATAGTCGGAATCGTACAATCGACTCTGCTTTATGCAGATATTTCTATTGGATATGAAAAGGGTTTTGTCGCTTCATTTACGTGTGGTATATAAATAATTATCTGTTTCTTTTGTTCTTCATAGATCATGTATCATATTTCACTAGTGAATAAAATATTGGAAAATTAAGACGTGATTAAGTTTTAGCTCACCTGACTGATTTTTTCAAGTGAACTTGTGTCAGTACCCCCTCGTCCGTTGTCCGGCCCTGATATAAAACCTGTTTGGTGTTCATGTATTAGTTTTGGCAATGATCTTATGATACGATTTGCTATGCAGCAACTTAGAATTTTGTACTAAGTATTTAATAATGTAATGGGGCTCCAATTTTAAGTACTCTTCTGTCTTTATTGGGTTTAGATATGGTAGTAATAACACCCCTATTCATAGTAAGTGTTAGTCGATTATTCTCAAAGGTATCCTTTATAAATCTATAAACGCAAACAGAGATACCTTTCAAGAAAAAATTCAAATTTCAACTGAGATCCCATCTATACCTGGGGATTTATTATTTTTTCAACCCAGGACCCCAGAACCTTAAGCTTCACATGCTGGAAGACACCTATATTTTGTTCAAACGTTTCGAGACCCGTGAAGATTCCGGGGTAGAATAGGTCTTCAGCAACCCATGCTTGCTGTAAAAGGTGACTATGCTTGTCGTAAAAGGCGACTAGCAGGATCGGGTGGTCAGGCTCGCTGACTTGGTTGATGCATGTCATCATATCCAAATTGCGTGGATCTATGCTCATGATGTCAATCAATGGATTGTCTGATCCAGACTTGATTATTTACAGACGGCCATCATATAGCTGGAATATTCCTGGGTGTAGCATGAAACAAACAAACAAACAAACAAACAAACAAACAAACAAAATACCAGTCCGGATTCCTTGTAAGACTGGAGGTCTCCAGAAACATATTCTTGTCACAAGAGCCGACAGAGTGGATCAGACTGTGAATTAGATGATTGCATGTAATTGTATCGCAATGCATGGGTCGCTGCTCATGATGTCAATCACTGGATTATTTGGTCAGGCAGTGATGATTTACAATTTGAATATTGCTGAAGCAACATTAAACAACAAATAAATACCTGGGGCATTCATGGAATATCATATTATAGCTTTAACATGCTACAGCCCTGTACAGAAAGCATTGTAGTACTGTGAATAACTTTGACAAATGATAAATGGTGTGAGAGTTATGAATAGGTTATTCTACATATTACTCTGTCACTTCAAGTGAGAAATCAAATAAAACATGAAATTTCAGACTTTAAGAAATTTCAGTAAAGGCCACCTTTTGCACACATAAAATAGGAAATGGCACACTTTAATTTTATGTTCATTGCCTCTTTTCATTAAAGGTACTCACGTTAGTTTATATCTCATGTCTTGGCAAAATAAAACTGTGAAATGAAAGAGTTGCATGTTCCACTATCGTTAAATGACTTCCTGTTGTAAAATCAATCGGCAGTATTTGGTGATTTCCCTTGACTGTATCTTACAGATGTTTGACGAAATGTTCTACACTGCACAAAATACATTTGAATGTAATCGCTCTTTCTGTATTTTGACGGAGTATCACAACTATCACGTAGGTCTTGCATTTCAAACAATAGTGCTTACTTGTGTTACCGTATTCGACGTAATAAGCGCCCAGGGCGCTCTCAAAATAAGAAAAAGGGGGCTCTTATTAGAATATTATTTTGGTGAAAAAAAGAGTTGAGAGATAAATTTCAGGGTTTATGCTGACAGCCTGAAATGTTTATGTACGACAGATATATTTTTCCAGAATTTAATTGCCCATAATTAAGGGTGCATATAACACACGAGTGCGTATTTTTCAAAACCTAGCAGATAATTGATATTTGTTATAATTTTGTTTGGTAATAAAGACAAGGACACCTAAACCTAAAATGGCTCACCTAATTCTAATTTCTAATTTCGAGCCCTGCATATTGCTTCAACTGGCCAATCAGCTACATGGATATGTACAAATATAGTTTTCTCACTCAATCATGTCCATCTTTCAGCCCTTTAACATAAACATATTTGTCCTATGAATAAACAATGCCATTTAGAAATTGGTCAATGTAACAAATGTTATATTTGGGATAGCCCTGCCTTAGTCAAATACAAATACTAGTACTTTTTTTGGTTGAGTCCTGTCTGGGATTTGAACCCACACAGCCAGAGTGATCGAGGCACCTAATTGCCAGCACACAAATTCAGCGATCTAACCTACTCAGCCACAAAAAATTAAAGTCTGACACCTAATAGTTTAGATCACATACTTTGTGTATCCCTGAAAAGGGTTAATTGGCATGGCTTCCATTTTACACTGGGCCACTAGGACATCAAAATTAATGTCTGTGGGTAACAATATGATGTGTGCATTCATAGCTATTGTCCAAGTGTACAACAAGGTTTGTTAGATTGTTTGTGTTTTTGTTTAACGCCACACTCGGCAATATTTCAGCTATATGACAGCAGTCGTGTAAAGAATAAAGTCTGGACCAGACGATCCAGTGATTGACATCATGAGCATCACTCCACACAATACGATGACATGCATCAACCAAGTCAGCGAGCCTGACCATCCGATCCCGTTAGTCACCTCTTACGACTAGCATTATCGCCCTTTAGGGCAAGCATGGGTTGCTGAAGACCTATTCTAACCTGGATCTTCATGGGGGACAAACATCAAGGTCACAAAATTAGGCCTCTTCCCTTCTTTTGGAACTTTATCATCAAAATCAAAATATGGAAAAAAAACTTTATAAAAAAAAGGGAGCAACTGATGCTGACAAACAAATCATCAATTATTATTTCAGCAAGAGCTACTCTTGTATCAGTAAATAAAGCCAGGTTTGTCAAAATCACCTGGCTCGTCAGCAACAGCCTCTTCTCCATCCTTGGTGTGGTCCCGACTGGTGGCATCCCCTGGTGTCTCCCTGTTGTATAGAGGTATGTACTCTACCTTTATTGCAGAGTCGGAAAAATCACCCTCACTCAGTTCTCTTTTCTCTTGAAAAAAAGGGAGAAATTGTAATGTAGACATGACACACAGCTCTTCTTCACTACATATGTTGCCATTTGTAAGGATTTGTATTTATTATTCTTTTTCAGAACTGTATTTCATTAAATATATCAATCTATTGCCTTGTTGAGTTATAACCTTATATTACTCTTGTATGACTATGTATGAGATCTGCCCACTGGCGTGTACCATTGTGAAGAAAGAGGTAGCAAGTAGTCCATGAGAGGTAGTACGTGGATATGTGCATCTACTGTTTCAGCTAACAATGAGTTTGAGTGGTGAGTTCAATAGTCTTATGAGCAACACGTGTCCACGGGAGAAGTCAATTTCATCAGGCATACAACTTCTCTACCTGTAACAAGCCAAATACGTTTTCCTAAATTCTGTTCACCGCCTACTTATCATGCTTATCCCAATCATGTCTTATGAGTTGGAGGGTTGGTCTGAAAAATTAGTTGCCAGTGGTCGTTTACAATTCCTGTGACATTGTTTCACAGACTTTTAGTTATGCCATATTTTGTAATCAGTTAATCAGATTAAATAATATTTGTTTTGTTTTCTACTAATACACATGTATTCGCTGAAGGTTGGGAATTAAAGAGAAAAAAATTATAAGTCATATTTGCAGTTTTTGCTGAGTTAGTCATATCTGTAAACCTAAAAATAAAAATGTGTTGCCTAACGGACTGCTTTGGTCAAATATCAAAGTTTGACAAAACAGGTTGTTCTTGTGGACACATATATATGAAAATGTATCACAGTATTTCTTTTCCTGTCCATTTCACAATGATGTAAGAAATTATACATTCTTCTACTCTGAGGTTGGTTGGTTTGTTGTTTTACGCCACACTCAGCAATATTCCAGCTATATGACGGCGGTCTGTAAATAATCTAGACTGGACCAGACAATCCAGTGATTAATATCATGAGCATCGATCCACGCAACTGGGATACGATGACATGCATCAACCAAGTCAGCGAGCCTGACCACCCGATCCCGTTATTCGCCTTTTACGACAAGCATAGTGGCCTTTTACGGTAAGCATGGGTTGCTGAAGACCTATTCTACCCCGGATCTTCACGGGTCTCTGCTCTGAGGGAGTTGATCTTAACACTATACTGAATGGTAATGCTGCTAATTTTACAAAAACTACTAATCTAGATATCTTAAAAACAGTACATTCATACATACTTCATTACAGAAGGATTAAACTAACGTGAGACTGTAAATCCCGCATATATATCAATCTTGTACTTATTACACCTTACTGTTGTCCATGACCACTTACTTTTGTGAACGTATTTAGTTCATCATCATGTATTTGTTTGTTTAATGCCTTCATGAATACAACTTGTACTTGAGAGGTATTAACATACCTTTTGGATTGTTTATTGATTCAGACTCATTGAATAAATATATGTTTAAATAAATCAATACAAGCTCAGGGGTCCTGCCGAACACACTCACAGTCGTTCGTGAACTCAACTTAGGATAAATGTGTATCCATGATCAAGTGAATTGTATTCACCAGATGAAAACTAACTTGTGAGAAAACTCAGTTCACTGAAATTTAAGTCTGTAAATTGTAATTACATAATTAAGACATTTGCAGTCACCAGTTAGTAAGTAACAAAATGAGACGTACATGTAGTTTATAGTATATAAATAACAGAAACAACTCAATAGCAAATTTTCATTATTTTTGCTTTGTCACTATTTTTCTTTATTTCATATTTATTTTTGTTTTCTCTCTATGTTTTACTCTAACCTTTTATACATCTTTTTATTATTTGTTTTGTCCAATCTCCATATACCTACACTTCCTTATTACCTACAAGGGTAAACATATCGGGGTTCATAAAAATCATATGTGCCCTAGGTTGATATCCATCACGAGACACGGTGTATTGTTTCCGCCATCCCGACAGCAGAGTTGACATCATTCAAATCTTATTGTGACGTCAGGTTGGAATGACGTCACACTAGAAACGACGTCGTAGCTGAAGATGGTTGACATCATTCGACAAATTGTGGTTCCGCTGCTGTTGTGACTTGCTGACTTATAGATAAATACTCAAATTTGTCTCTGTATGTGGATATCTTCTTCGTTATTAAATAGAACATTATATTCATGTTCATCTCATACTATGTATACAACACTAGTGCCTAAACATAGTATGACATGAACGCTCATATAATATTCTCTATATATCACTAGTATTTTGGGTCAGGTGTTTTCATCCTATTGCCCCATTTTAAATTTCCAAATTTACCCCCACCTGACTGTGAATTAGACTGTGTCTGAAGTGGTCGTTAAACTCCAAGAACTCCCTCGTTGAAAATTGGCAGGTGGACCTGTAATTGTCGACTTTGTTGATATGGTGACTGTAACCTTGGTTTGGTTTGTTGTACTCAGCAATATTCCAGCTATATGACGGCGGTCTGTAAATAATCGAGTCTGGACCAGACGATCCAGTGATTTACATCATGAACATCGATCCACGCAATTGGGATCAATGACATGCATCAACCAAGTCAGCGAGCCTGTCCACCCGATCCCGTTAGTCGCCTTTTACGACAAGCATGGGTTGCTGAAGACCTATTCAACCCCGGATCACCAAGGCTACAAGTATGAGTGACAAAAACATGAGGTGCCTGCATACACTGGGAATGCTGTACTGTTGCATGTCCAGCTGTCATCAACACTGCCAGTCATCTTATCACAACCCAGAAGCATGCGCATTAGCCACACTAAAATCACCATCAGCCAGATTCTGTCAGGTGGACATTTGCCTTTGGTTTAAAACAATATTTATTTCCACTTGGAACAGTGAAAGGGGATTGACAAACAGGCAAAGCCTATACAAATATCTCTCCCCATCAAAGTTCGAACAAGCAGCAGTAGTGTTATATATGTTATACAGTAATATAAACTTTGTAAATTCTAAATATGTTTTACATTTGTATACTTGTCCTGCATTACTATGTTATACTTAAAACTTAAAATATAACAACATTTATTTAGATTCTACATGTACAACATCCAGTCGTAAAATAATACAGACTACTTTGATTAATTTACACAAAGTATTTTTATTTTTTTACGCATGCAGTTTGAATCATCGTCCCCGATCAGTGTTACATAGATCTACATGTCCCATGCCACTGTGAAATAATTGCGCCACTGTTCCATTCACTACCATCATTACGTAATGTGAACCTCAGCAAGGAATATCTGTACACCGCTCTTTCCTACACCGCGGGGTCAGTTTCTTGGACCCCGATGACAGCGGTATATCGAGGGATCACTGTACTAGATACTATGTCACATGAGGTACATCAAAGGTAAACAGTTGTTGGAGAAATATATGTAAGAGTGCATATTTATACAAATCTTTTGCTCATAGAGAAGTAATGATGAACAGAATCAATGATATTAAGAAGTATTTCTTTGTCCTGGTTGACGTTGCCAAACAGGACGGTTCAAAGGGCATATCCATTAACAAAGTAATTGTTTCAGATCTAATCTCAGTAAACAAGTAAATAGGTAGTGTCAAGCACTTTCATTGCAAAAAACACAAGAACATTCACCATTAACACTAATAAAGAAGTAATTATGGAACCATTTCCTGAAAATGATGTCCTATCCATTCTGACAGTGTAACAGGCAACTTATTTTCTACAATGAACATTGTTAATAAAACTTGGTACGTGTCAAGGTATCCTGGATTTCACAAAGTATGACAGCAATGGTGTAATGGCTAGTTACAGCTTACCCTATTTCCTTCAACGCAATGCACACACACACACACACATTCTTGGGTCCAAGTTTCAGGCAGAAAAGCTGTTTTGTGTATGATGTGCAGTCTATCCGTGACACCATATGTTCTAATGACACCAGGTGTTTTCAACAATCATCTGACCCACCAGTGGTAGTTCTTGGTGAATTAATTGTCATTCAAATAATTTGTTGCGCATAGATGTAATTACCATATTCGACGTAATATGCGCCCGCTGCGATATTTGCAAATATATTGGCTTGTGAACAATCCCAATCAGCACCCCTTCCAAATGATCAATGTACACAAGACTTAATTATTCGTGTATAATACGCACTCGTGTGTTATATGTACCCTTAATTATGGGCAATTAAATTCTGCAAAAATATAGCTGTCATATGTGATCATTTCAGGCTGTCAGCATAAGCCACGAAATTTACGATCTTTCAACTCTGTTTTTTTTTCACCAAAATAATATTCTAATAAAAGCCCTCTATATCTAATTTTGAGAGTGCCCTGGGCGCTTATTACATAGAATACAGTAACTTTTGAACAATGAAAAAAGTAAGCATTCACAATAAGGATCTAATTACTGGTACTTGTAGTTTTCATTTCCTTTTTTTATCTTAATAAAGTCACAATGCCGTAATTCAGGGTACTTTTCAAAGCAATTTCTCATTCTCACAGGTTCTCATCTCAATACTAATAAATCTCAAGGCATGGAAAACCTTTTATAACAACACCTTCAGGATGGGCAACATTTGCTGTGATCGTATTGATGTGCCAGAGAAAGAATGTTAGCCTCAAACCATTGTGAATGACACTAACATGCTCTGATTAGGACAAATTTGGGTATCCCATGTTTGCTTTAACACGTTTATCAGTTTACCAGCAGCAATGAAAACAGCAACCCACTCACCTAGTTGAGCAATGGTAGTGTAAGCAGCTGTAAAGTTTTTGTAGGACTTGGTGATATTCTCCTGGAAAGCAAAAAAACAAGTCAGGGTAAAAAACAGCTTCAAGACAGACAGATGCAAGAACATTTTATGTTGTTACACTTTAATCTTGGATTCTAAACTCAGTACAGTTGGGAAAATGGGAAAAAATAATGATTTTGTTCAATTTTGGGATTTTTAAAAAGGGTTCTTGTTTTCCTAAATACAAGTACAAGAAATACAAGTAACATCTACAAAGCCATAACATTAATTATATTAACATGAATTGGGAAATGTTTAATTCCAATTTGGGAATTTTTATAAGATTTACTGCTGACACAGGTCCGAATATCAGTCTCCTAGCAGTTCCAGATAAATTCCTGAATACATCCCTAAGTTCAGCTTCCTTGGTCTGGCAATTTCAAAGATGTTTACAGAGCCAAAAATACATTTTGACGGAATTTAAGAGCTTTACAATACATTCTTAGGAGAAATGGCAGAGCAGTGGCCTTATATAGGGTTTAAATATAGGTGTCATGTCAGCCATACTGAAAATCATCTTCCCAAGCCAAGAGAGTTAACTGACTTTAAAAGTCCAGTTTCCACCCTTGCCGAACTAGGCTGGAATTCCTGGGCTCGATCGTAGCGCCACCAGTGGTTATTACGAGTTATGTCCCTACTATGTCTCCTATGGACCAATCAGATTCCACTTCTCGTATCACTTGCATTTGCTTCAAACAAAATGGTGGCGCCCTGTCAAGACGATCTGATCAATAATCAACATCTATATTGTGATAAAACAGGTCTTACATTGGGAAGTGCATCAAATCACGTGAGCACCTTTATTAAAAACCTGAAAAGATTTGATAAATAACTGTTGACGAGTTAGCGGTGTACATGCATTGCAAATCCTACAATCGACTGAAATCTGCACAACCGTTAACGAACTGGATTTCAATTTCGTTGCGAGATTTTGATTGGACTATGCATTAGTCCAGTCAAAATGTAACTCCATAATTCCAGCCTAGTTCAGCAAGGGTGGAAACTGGACTTTAATAGTCTGTTTACTCTCTTGCCTTGGGAAGATGACTGAAAATCAGATTCAAACCTCTTAAACAAATTCAGATGTTTTAACTGGTGGAAATAAGCATGTGAAGCTTCATCATGTTCATTGGTTGAATGGTTTCTGAAGAGATGATGTTTACAGTACACTAGTAGCCAAAAGATAAGTACATACTTTGGGCATACTAGGAGTGCTTTTGATATATTTATTGATGACTTTTAACATTTTTCCATTTTTTTTTACAAATTATTGTCATCCAGTTTTTTTAAAACAATCTAAAAATATCATTTGTTGTTGTTTTTTTTTAAATATTAGTTTTTACTTTTCGGTAAATATGCATTGAATACCTGTTACTGATAACACATTTAGAATTTTACTTGTGCTGTCTTTGAACTTGTCTGGACAAATCACTAAAGTCTGGCATCATCATATTTAGTGGTTGGTAGAATTATGTCCTACTTTTGTCAGATTCGGACCTCCAGACAAAACTTTTCCCTGTACCTGTCAAACTGAGCGCGAGGCCAGCTTTTACTCGGCGCTACTAATGTAAATAATGAACTTTTATAAGTAAAATATGCATGGTTAGATAAAATAAATGACATCTGATATAGAGAACACGAAAAATCATGAAGGTTAGTGAGTGCATTTTGTTCCGTTAAGCGTACATAACAAGTACCGCGATACCCCGAGGTTGCAGGCTACCCCTCAAATCAAGGATGATAGATCCATTCAACTAAACTTGCACATGCAAAAGACATGTCATGAAATTGAAACCAAAGATATGATTTGATTCCACAGTGACCACCGACACTGGGGTTAGTAACTTTCATAAAGCAGGATTAGTGCACTTTACCGGGCGCACTTTTTCAGATTCAATTAGCGCTGTGAGGGCTCAAAGCACTTCGCCGGCTCACCGGCTCTTAATGCGGTAATTAGCCAACGCTCTACCAATGGACCACGGGCGCTATCACATGTAATCAATGCTCGTTTAACGGGTCATTAGAATCCCCATTAACATGCTCTCCCATTCATCTTCCCATTTCTTAAACCACACCCGCCATTGTTTATGTCAACATGCCCGACCAATCAGATTAACCGGATTAACGCTTGAAAGGAAAGAATTATTTGCTAACCCTTGCCCGAAGCAAGCTTACCCTAAGGACCGAAAAGGGGTGTTGGATCGTAAAGACGGGGCACCTTTAGAATACAGTACCACAACTTCTCGTGAGGACGATCTCTGCCGTAGGTCACACGTCTCAAGACAGTTTTTGTGAGAATCCTTCGGACGCGAACTCACGACCTTCGGATTGTTAGCCTGACAGCTAACCGACTGAGCTACGTCCACACTGTTAAACTTAGTGCTAATTTACCTAGTCATGCCTATGACGTCACGGAACTGAACGAAAAGGGTCGAATAGGTGACGGACACTTACGAAGGTTACGGGTAGGCATGGTGTCTCGTGACTTACGAATGATCCCGATGCCATTTGGCACACTCGTCCCATTCCGTAATCTACAAGATACCGAGTGGTGAGGAATGAGCCGATATGCCCCGAACTGAAAACGGCTTCAGGCGTCAGACGTCGAACTCGCGAGTACGCATGAATGATATGGTGATTTTTGTGACAGAAAAGTGTGGTAGGGAACACTGTAAGGATGATGTGGATAATAATAAGGAACGAGGGAGGAATAAGCATGACTAGTGACGACACAATGGTGAGTTTGCTTTTGAATCAGTATTGAAAAAATGTAGCCGGTGAAGGGGCTTGTGTGAATGTTCCAGGACAGTTTCCAGTAGCCAAAGTATTCGACACAAAACCATTTCATACTTTTTACTCGACGTTTTAGTGGGAAGAATATTAGGGGCCGCTATAGAATCTATAATAGCCACTAAACGGGTAGATTTACCTAACCCTAATGATCGTAAAGGGATGATTGACCGTAAAGGGGATCCAAGGGCTAAGGACAGAGTTCGGGTAATCTAATAGCCACTAAATGGGTACCTAACCCTAATGATCGTAAAGGGGTGATTGATCGTAAAGGGGATCCAAGGGCTAAGGATAGAGTTCGGGGTAACCTACCCTAACACTAGTGATATTTGGATGTGTTCAGCGCCAACATAATATCCCTAATAAACTGCGTTCTTGTGCATAATAATGAAAATTAATGAACCGAAAAAATAATATATGTATATTAGTTCCCATTTATAACCATTTTAGCCACTTGAATTGCGAGAAAAACGAAATAAAAAATATATATAAAATGAAAGTGCTTTCGTAAACTAGCGCTTGCTATAAAATGCGCCGCCGCAGGCTATATTTAGTAAACAAATATTCAAAACTCTCCACACTGCTTGGCGTATTCAATGGCATTTCATGTAGAGATGATAGATCACTGGGAAAAGCTTATGCATACCCGATGACCCTTGACCTCACAGGGCATTGTTTCGCCAGTGTGACTGGCAACAAAATACCACAAATTACGTTATAGGGTATGATCACGTGTTTGAAAAGTTTGTGGTACTGTATTCTAAAGGTAGGCCAGTTTCCCTAAGACCGAACAATGGGTGTTGGATCGTAAGACGTGTAAGTTTCCCTAAGACCTAAAACGGGTGTTGGATCGTAAAGCGAGAGTCACCGGTGCGTGAGGCACAGTAACATTATAGCGAGTCAGCGGTGGCACTATAGTGCGGTAACTGAGCGGATGGCGGAGCTCGGGCTGTGCTCGGTAAACTGCATTGTTGCCCATAAAGCTAGAATATTACAACTGTCAACAACGAGTAATAGGAATTATCGGAAACGGTAATACCAAGAGTGATGGAGTATACTCACTTAGATATGCTTGTATCAATAATGACAGAGCGTGGACTACCTCTCCCTCCACTCCCGATTACAACAACATTTACGAATGAAGGAGCCTTGAGCTTGTCTCCCATTCTCTCTCGATACTTCACATGGCGAAGTTTCCTCTCGACTTTTATTCTCGGCATATTGTCCACCTTTGATATCCACTTGTTTACATCGGAGAATTCCGCTGGTCTTGAGCTGGAAAACCTCAATAACACTTGTCGAATACTAAACAGCGACTGTGATTTGATAAGCATTCCAGTCTCATGTCATATATATGCATGTAGCATTCTGCATATGTTACTTATTATAAAATTGACGTCAAAACAAAAACACATGCAAGATTTGGTCTTCACGTGCAAGTTTTACCGGAAGTAAACGAACTGTCACTTATTGAAAGAAAACCTCTAAAAGGGAAGTAACTCTCCCGGCTTACTACAATGTATTGCAGAGGAAGAGTCGGGGTTTCGTCTCTGGTGAACTGACACATAAACATTCGCATACACCTAATGAAGAAAAACTATTTAGAAACACCAGATGTTAAATTATAGTTTGAAAATGTCATGAAAAGGAGCCAAGAGACTTTCTTCATAATTGTTCATTGTCAGATACAACGGTAATCTAGACTTGCATGGGTTGGATATACATGTATTTGTTTCAGGGTCTGTGTGACAGCCTAACTATCATATAGCAGGGGCGGATCCAGGATTTTTTAAATGGGTGTGTGTTGGGGGTGGGTGGGTCCCACCCAAAGGCCCATCCTAAAGCCCACCCAAAACCTCACAAACTCACATGTAAACCATTATTAATAATTTAACCAAACCAACATGTTATAATGGTAGGAAATGCACAAATACTGTTATAAGGCGTTGAAAAAGGGTTTGAGAACCAGAAGCAAGCAGTCATTTTACACATTGGTTGTAACATATATATATATGTCATGACCAAGGTTTGTGGTTGTTTAGTGCAGCCATAGACGCTAATTAGTATAAATATATGATAATATTTGTAAAAAGTTGAAATAATAGGCGAGCGCAATCTTCTTTGGCACACTTTTCATAACTGAGTGTATAACAATTTAGAGTGAAAATATGTTTTATGTATTTCTATAAATATATGGACTCTTACACCTTTTTATAAACCCTTCAATTTCACACTCAGTTTGAAACCATTGGTTTTTTTTAGATCTGTGAATGAAGAGACCATTATACTATGTGCATATACAGTTCGATTTAGCCCCTTTTCATATTTATGCTGTTTTGAACATGATGTATTGGTAGTAAAATATACAGAAAGGTCAGGGATTGAATTGTTTGTGTGTGGTTTTACTACTTATTATCTTATTCACTCTCAGTTGTGGCAGTAATACATTTACAGTTTCTACAGTGTACATACAGAAGTCACTTCTTAATATAGACGTGTACTATTTTGACATGGACAAGTTGAAGTGATGGTTCCCTTACAACATAACCATAAAAACTCTCTCACGATGATGATAATTTAAATACCAATAAGTAGTACCTCAGAATATTGTTTCGTTTTGTTTGTTGTTTTATGGCGCACTCAATAATATTCCAGCTATATGAGAGAGCAGGCTCCAATCAGTTCCTCAAACATCACTCGAGAGTGGTTTTAACCATGAATCACATCACCCAGCTCTCCTAAGTCCAAAACACTCACCCAAGGCTCAAATCAATCACCTACATTTTTACAGTATTCAACCTCTCCTGTTCAGGTTTGGCATACAGTTCTAAAGGTTTCAGATGTTCAAAAGGCTTTCTTACCTGAAAAGGTAGTAGCTGACTGTTCAATTGTCGACATATACTGAACAACAAAAGTTCCTGTGACATTGAATAAGATTTAATGCAAAATAATGTTTTTTACCAAATCTGAAACAATTTCGGTTTGCAACAGATGAAAGACTCCTGTAAGTGTTCAAATGGTTTAATTTGCCATACTGACTTCAGAAAATTCGCGATTTCATAAAAAAACATGAACATGCCAAAATGTCAATTTACAAATCAATAGCGTGTGTGTCCACCTCTGGTTGCGATGCAAGCAACACATCTTCGTCTCATGGAATGGACCAGGCATTGCACAAAGTCCTGTGGGATATATGTCCATATCTGCTGTAGCATGTTTCAAAGTTCCTGGAGTGTCTGTGGAACACGTGGTTGACGTCGAAGGCGCCGATCCATCTCATCCCACATGTGCTCTATTGGTGAGAGATTAGGGGAGCGAGCCGGCCAGGGAATGACATTCACGTTGTTTTGTTGAAGAGAATACTGAACAGGTCAAGCAATATGAGGCCGGGCGTTGTCATGTTGAAAGGTAATGCTTTGGCCATGACGACGCAAAAACGGTAGAACAACAGGGCCGATGATCTCGTCGCGGTAGCGCTGTCCATTGTGATTTCCCTCTACCACTATCAAACGGGTCCTCTGTCTTGCTGTAATCCCACCACATACCATAACGCTGCCGTCCCCGAACTGATCTTCTTCCATGACACAATGATTGACGTAACATTCACCTCGATGTCGGTACACTCGAATCCGTCCATCGCTGTGGCTGAGGTGAAAACAAGACTCGTCAGTGAATAGAACTTGTCCCCACTGCATGGCCGTCCAGCGTAGACGCTGTCTGCACCACCATAGACGTGCTTGACGATGGTTTCCTGTCAAAATGGGACGTCTGGCGGGTCTTCTGGCGACAATCCCTGCACATCTGAGGCGACGACGTACGGTTTTTGAAGATATTCGTCGAAGGCCAGGGAATGCTCTCGCAGTCACTGTTGCTGGCTGGAATCGATTTCATAGGTGTGTTGTTCGAATCCAGTTGTCTTGTCGATTATTGGTAACGCGTAGCCTACCACTCCGAGGATGGTCTCTGACTGCATTCGAATGTTGTCAATGTTGCCATAAACACCAAATGGTGTTTCTGTGGGCGTTAAATTGTCTTGCAACATCAGTTGACTCGATCCTGCTTCAAGCATACCAATGGCTCGCAGACCCTCATTCTCGGACAGGTATTTCGTAATGTTGAATAATTGCGTAATTTTGTTGTGGTTGTTGTCAGCACGATGCCAAAGAATGCATATGGAATCCCGTTAACGCACATGTTTTTATACACATTCTTGGGTAGTGAAATGCATGAGGCTTGCATAAAAGTCAACTTTTGCATGAAATGCATGCTTTTCTGTAGCATTTGCGTTTTTGTGACTTGATTCCATACATGTACTACAATATTGAAAACCAAACTTTACTTGTTGTTGAGTATACATTAATATTTGCGGGCAGTAGGTAGATGTGCATGAAATTATCTTTATCATCCAAAACTGGCTCCCACAGGAGATATCGCTTGGGTGAGATCAAGCGATATCTACATTGTCGCTGCAATGAAATTGCATCACAATGCTTTTGTTATAAGGTTAAAAATGCATCTCAAAAACATTAGAAAATGGTAACAAATAAAACCGTTATAGCTGCAATGAGGAGTTGCATTAGATATAGTTTGTGACAGAACTTTTAGTTAGAAATGAATCAATGGATAAAAGACATTTCACATTTATCACAAGTGTATTCTGGACATTTCGTAATTATCATTGGATTGGTTCCTGGTTATCGTCCATTAGTTAATGACAAATAGAGAGTTTCAAGGTATATTTCATTTGGAGCTTCCGGATGCGAGTCACAAAATCAATAGAGAGATGAGCAATCTGGCACGTAGGCTTCTGTATTTTTCCGATTACGACACACATGAGTTCATGGTCAGATCTAACTTTTAACGAATCAAAATGAGGTATTGTGACATGTGACAAGGACAGGCCAGGCCCGAACACTATAGAATGATACCTTCAACATTAGGAGAGGAGAGCGCGGTTTGCAATTGATCGAGTCGAATCCCGATCGTTCTCAGTTTCCCCCATTTGGTGACGAGTCTGGCCGGTCTGATCCTGTCCTGTATTGATAGATCGGCTGAGAGTAAGTAAAACTAACTGAGTATAAAGATGGTGTTGCGTTTCTTTATTATGCGAGTGTGAATGCTGATAGAGACAACTTGGAGTAAGCGTCGTTAGACCAATCACTCCTTGACAGAGCCGAGCCGCGGCGGACAAGGCGAGTAGCAAAGTCATGGCGTAATTGACCACGAGGACCATGAACGGCAATTCATTTAGTAACTGTATTAGGGTCGCCATGACGTCACAATCAAATGACATCACTAATGGCTCTGCTACTGAAGCTCTAAGCAGTACTTTTTACACTAAAAACACTGCTTATTACTGTCTACAAACTGAAAAAGTTGGAAACCCGCCTTGCCTGCGTGCATTTAACAACATACAGTGCTAAAGATTCTGAAAAAGAATTATCTGTCTTAACTTTCTCAAATTTGTCGAGAGTACAAAGATTACTATAGTGCAAATACTTGGCAAAAGCATATTTCTGAATTTGTTATACAAGTAACACGATGTAATAAATAGAGGATTCATCACGAGTTTTTTTTTAATATGGGAAATATCAACCGAGTCTTAGTTAATCGGTATTTGCCGAGCCTTCGGCGAGGCAAATACCGATAAACGGGACGAGGTTGATATTTCCCATATTAAAAACACGAGTGATGAATTCTATTTATCATTTTCACATTTTTGCTTCCAAATTAAGGAATAATTGCATTAAACATTAACATCAGCAACTTGTCGAAATCTTACGTATAGATCGTGCGTAGTGATACATGTTTTCCATAGCCATGTAATTCACTGAGAAAAAGAGTTCCTCGGATTATTTTAAACAAAATACTTGAACAGACTTTTGCAGAATAATTGAAACTTTAATAACCGTAACAACAACGATTCTGTGTAATCTGATTATATCTCTGGTGTAACTTCACTTATAATATATAGTTTCAAATCAAACCGCTCGCTCTTCCTGTTATCTATGTGGAAATCTAATCCTCCCCAGCGCCCAATTTCAACAGTCAGTTTGTGGTTACCACATCTGAATCGACTAAGAGCAATTCTTAAATTTTTACTCTTCATATTGTGCAAATACCTTTCAGGCTCCAACACTAATTTGATAATGGAATAATTATTAAGCTTACTTGTTTCACTTATAAATAGTGCCCATGTTTGTTTCCAAAAATCCTGCAATCTTTCCCTACAAATTCTAAGGAAATGGGTTATATGTCACCAACACCCTGTTTAAACCAAACTAGACCAAATCCAAGTATGTTCAACAGATATTTTATTCTAGTTGCCAATGTGGCTCTACCAGCCCCATCTATGAACTTCAGTTTCGCGGTCATGTGACCGACCAATGGAAATGCCGTATATCGTGTTAACTTCACATAAAGAAATTATTATTACATTACCACACATTACTGTGACTGGGTATGGTTTTATGCCGCTTTTAGCAATATTCCAGCAATATCACGGCGGGG